GCCTCAGTGCGTTCCAATCAGAAACCATCGCATTCGCCATTGGATTCAGCTTTGACAGTCTCAAACCTGGGGTACAATGCACTTTCGTACTTGAAACATTGGCGAAAAAAGATACGTATATGTCCAATTTCATGTTTCTGGGCACTGCATCGTCGTTCTTGTTCGTCTTCGATATCATTCAGGGTGATGGGCGTATCGACTTTGGACCAACCATCGTAGATGAGAACCTTGCTCCCTGGGGCATGAACAAAATGGCACGTGTAGAATTGCAATCGGCGCGTGTTGTGTTCGGTAGAATGTGGACTCAATTGTTTTCCGAGCTCTGCACTTCATCAGAATGATACGAGCGAGATCAATAGTATGGCGAGGCAACCTGGCCCTTATCACGTGATTTACATAAACAGCATCACCGGCGACCGCGACTTTTGGTGGATGCCGCATCTCTCATCGCGTCAAACATGCCATAACGTTGAGCGCGTTATTATCAACACTATACACACACCTCAATGCCAGAACCCAACTTATACCGACACTCCATGCTCAACTCGGCCTACCACAAATCGTCCTGGAAGATGACGAACTGCAAACATTACAACATACCCGTTGAGTCCCAGATGGAGGTGTGGAGGAAACAAGTGGATGCTACATGGATAGGAAAATGCGAGGGAGTAGATTTTGGTTGTGCTCTGTACTCAAAAGCGCTGGGCACGCAAACTAAAGTTGCTGGAGCGCTCAACGGTCCGAGTCAGATGAAAGCGCCGCTGTGTACAAAGAGAAACTAAGATAGGTCGGTCGGATATTTTTTACGCCTACTATGATGATAGTCTCTTAGGTCTATCATATAACACTCGAGCAGCTCGCAACGTTGACCAATCGCCTGAACGCCCTTGCACAGACGCTGGATTCCCTTTCCTTAACAAGATATATGAACTTCAGCGGTTGCTGCTAATGAACTGGACAACCCTGCAGCACTGCAAAAGTCATGCCTGAACATTTCTTCAAACTTGAAAAGGAGCTTGTACGGGCAAAAGGCCAAGCGGTCAGCCAGTCTTCCTTTGTTTATCTCTATACCGCCTATCGCAGTTTTACAGCTGAAGCGACTAGATTATCATTACATGGTGTTGGCTGATGCAGATAGCTGGAGGCTCTTGTATTGAATATATATAATTGTTAACAATCATCGACAGGCTAAAAAGTGCGTCCGACTTTCCTCGGTGTCACATATTACCTGGTCAATAACTGATACTTAATAACCGATGTTAGTGACATTTGTATTTCTCATCGATTTAAAAAAAAATCCTTTTATTGTCACCAGGCTGGCCGTCGACAGTACTTAGAATATTATGCAGTGGCAGGTTCGCCGAGCCCTAAAGCGGCAGAAGTGGCGATTCTAGGACCCAGCAAAGACTGACCTCAATGGTCTCGAGTAATTATGTAAGATTGCCAATCTTGTGACTTCTCCGTTGTTACTAGGTTTCATTACATAATTTCAACCGCAGTTTTTCTGGTGCGTTAGGCTACGTTCAAGTCCGACCGCGACTACCCAAGCTCACTACTACCTTCTCGCTTCGTTTAGCCCTTCGGCTTCTGAACTCAACATCAATCAAGCCCTTGATAATTTATCAAGACCTCCACTTCCAACTTGCCCCATTAATTTTTGTTCCTGACCTCAACAAAGCGTCACCAAGTTTCCTCAGACCTCTTTTTTAGCTTTGAACCCAGCATTACTAAGTTTTCGTCATAGTAGTTCGATTTGTTGCGCAAAGAGCCGACCATCTCATTGCTACATCATCTGCACATGATCCAGGCCACCATTCAGTTGAGTGATGACCTTCCTCATAACTAAATTAACTTTTATTCCAACTGACGCCGCACCCTTAGATACGAGAGACTAGCCTTGCGGTATTACGACTCATTTGACGTGACCTATGTAATGTTGATCTGCGAGCGTCCATAAACGTTTGCCATGCCCCGCAATATTCAACCTCCGTCGATGACTCAATTACTCTGAACCTTGGCCTTCATCCGAGTCGGCGTTCATTCATTCGCCTCGCCCGTCTAGGCCCGATCATGGAGTTCGCTTTGGCACCCAAAATTTTCTTCTACTAAGTCTAATTACCCGTCTGCATCTACATGTCATTTTTATCTAGAATATCATTCCTCTGTATCAGGCTAGCCGCTCACCCATTTCTCATCCCTGTAAACATGTATCCCATCTCTCAACAACCATCTGCCAACTTTTATTCTCAATACTATCAACAATTCGCTGACGATACTAGCTGGCATCCTGCTCCAAGTTCAGACTATTACAACGGTACTAGACAACATTCGGTAGAGACCTACGGCCTAGCTGAAGATGCATCAATTGCGTTGAATTATTCCTGCCCACCTATTCAATCATATGACTACTCGGAGATGAAGGCACAAATGCATTTACATGCTCCAGTCCCGGTCCCCTATGGCCTACCTCATGTAGCAAACCCCTCCCGTCAAATTCATACACCGTACGTGGAACAAACGTACTATGGCCACCATGTCCCATACCCCCCTTTTGTAAATCAAACCCCAGGCCCCACCACCACCAATACCAATATCCTCGATTATTATGCAAATGCTCCGCAACTTCTTTTACCAACCCCCTCGGAACTTCCTACAGACCTTTCAATACCGTTTGCTCAAATCTCTACCACACTTTCCTCGTCCTTGTCTCACTCGACACAGCACGAGCAGTCTCAAAGCAGTGAACGTAGCAATGAGCCTCTTACCTCTGCTGCTCCTAACACGAATAAGACAGAGAGTCGACGTGGGGCACTACAACGTACCGTTGCCGAAGAGATAGGTTTCATCCCTACCAATCCGTAAGTTGCATTGTTTCAACGAATTCACCTTCAGACCTTGAGCGATAATTTACAGTGATACTATTTCATCACATGAGAAAAGACGCCAATATCTAGAATGTCTCGAACATTATGTTCTGTATTTGCATGAACAACTGCGTCTTGTCAACAATACACCTCCGCTTGATCTCGAGCGTGTGTCTACTTATCCGGGTCTAAGCTCTTGTAGCATCAGAACATTACTGGTGCATATGCAAAACACAAACCGTTGCCTTCATGAGAATATGCTCAAAGAGGAGCAGATGGTAATTCAATCGCTCCTTCCATTTTTTGCCGAATACTTACAATCATTCCACCACAGTTTTTGGATCTCTCTGCTAAAGTAATGGAGGCGCAAGGTGCAGGATTTGTTGGCATGAAACAACATTCAGTTGATTTCATCGGCCAAAGCTAGCAGTGATATCTGTTTGCAGAACCGAAGCTTCAGTTCGGGTAAAATAGCGGTCGGTGTAATATGATCGGGAGAGATATGCGTCTTCTACGCGATTTTGACGAGAAGCTGCTACTAACCACCCACTCAAACGAAAATATTCAACCCACCAATACAGTACATAGTATATCTTTAGTTTTTAGTTTGACTCGGACACTCGTTCTGCAGCGGAGTTACCTCATTAGGCCACTCCACGCACGGTACTTTCGACACGCTCATTCCTAGTTTTCCCCCAGTCTCTTACATTCGACTGGGGGCAAGTCATATTTCAATGTATCTACTACATTCCTTACTGATGTACTATAGAACTCACTAGAGTTCGTTCTATCTAGGTACATAATAGAGTCTCTTACATTCGACTGGGGAACTCACTAGAGTTCGTTCTATCTAGCCCAGCACTCGTCTTCTATTAAATATTCCTATTGAAGACCAATGGCCTGTGACTTGTGATGTTACTAGACAACGGAGCGGCGAGGCGAAGTTGTGCACGAGCAAAAGTCAAATTGAACTTGGGATATTGACCTTGTGGTAATAGAGTACTACTAATAGTACCTCAATAATGCACAAGATCTAATTCTAATCTAGGATATCCTAACCGAGTGGGTCTGTCAATACCGCTGGAAGCCTGCAGGGGGGAAGATCTAATACTACTGTAAGCACGCTGGCTTACCTGAGTTCTCATAATCAGTACATATACCGTCGCTGATACTGAAAGCTAAGCTTTCAGTATTTCACCTTTTGGTGTAACGGTTATGCGTGGGCGGCGGTCTGAACATGTTACAACTACTAAGAATATGCAACCATTTCCAGCCTGAGTAGTATTCAACCCCCAGTTGGACGGTCCAAAGAAGCTACATCATGCACTAATTATCCTAGAGGATATATCCTGATAAATCAAGACCAAGATGGACAGTAGACGATATCGGATGTGAATCACGATAGTTTATGGTTCATAGATGTATTATAATGACACTATGCGGTACGGCCTGAAGGCCTTCGACTCGGAGAAGTGCAATTGCTTCCCTTGAAACTAATAGGCGTACGGATCCGTACGATCCACAAGACTGGTCTTTGAATCCCAGTAAGAACTTACTGCGACGGAAGAGGGCAGGGTATGTTGAGATGCGACCCTGAGAAAAAAAACACCCACAAATTGCCCACAAACGTATCTCTCCTGCCTTACCCTGTAGCCAGACGAAAAACATTAGCCGGGGCAGTGTCTCTGGTGCTCCCGTGTGTCGAAAATATATAGATATATTCCAGCAAGTTTTCATCCTCCTGCAATTTGCTTGAATGGTGCTGATATGCTCAAATGGTGTGAAATCTACTATTATTTTTGATACAACAGGTATCGTAATTGGCGCTATTCGAAAGCAAGTATAACTTGAAAAGGATAGAAACCAGTGGGAACAAACACAAAAATGCACTGAAAGCACCAGATAACAGTGCAGAGGTGGGACTACTAGATATATAGTGGATACAGACAGGAATAGGACCATCAATAGAGAGCATGCAGACGAAAATAATATTGGCGTCGAGGCAGGAATAGTAGGATCGGGTACTAGTAGATGGCAAAGGATCGATGTGGAGCGTCAAGGCAGGATTAATAGCAAGATCGAGTGCGTCGATTATCAAGGGAGCTGGTATAGCAGCCCGCACGTTACGATCCTGCCTTACACGTCTCCTTGTTGCAACGTGGGGCCTTCATCCATACTAGTAGCTCTAACCATCAACACATCACAGCTCGCCAGAAAGTTACTAATGAGAGACGCCAAATGTCCAGAAGCACAAAGAGATTTGAACATTTTTCATAGCGGTAATACTTACTGCTCACAAGGATGTATCGCGCTCGGTTACATCAAGGTCCCATTATCCATAGAATGGGTCTCGGTAACCCACTTCTCTGAATTGTTACCCAGGATAAAGTTCACCTTTTGACACGGTATTAGTGAGGTGTCGCTGCTGAACTTGAATCATGTAGACGTACATCATGTTTCCCATTGTCCATGTCCCCCCCTGGTCAAGCAAAACCTCGACACGGGTCGCCCTGCGGCCTCCACCTGCGTACGTATATCTTCGGATGGGATATGAAGTGATCGTGCCATTTTCATCCTTCTCATTATCATGATGGTCCAGTTTTGCGATGACGCTATTGATGTTAAGCTCCCCGAAGCTCTTGTTCAACATGCAGTACATAAGAGATCAAAACCTAACCAACGTGATGACATATCTGAGATATCCCAGATCTTGTGAGTATTATTATACTTGTTAAGGAACGGTCAAGGCACTCAGTCAGACTAACCTTGGGCCATACCACCAATGCCACTTCTCAGCGGGGGCCTGGTCAGGCACAACCTGCATTGGTAACATTTTGTAGTCTTATGCAACGTTAATGCATGCGATTCATCCTCCAGGATAAAGTGGTTCATGCATACCCAAAAATGCAGCTGCATGGACAAAATCATCAGTGGACGCTGATTTGAATTGCACAGGGTCTAGCATACGTAGTGCTGGCTTTCGCGATCACTTATTTCGATGCGTCTCAGCCACCAATATAAGGGGTATCTAATTGATCACGGGCTCCTTGTCGTCAGACAACACCTTACCTTAACAGACCGTCCACCAATCTGACCCGGCACAATGATGCGCACAGGAAAAACATGGACTGGTTCGAACTTCCAATGGTAACCCGTTCGTTGCCCAAGCTAGTAATGTAGAAGGCCAGAAGGAAATGTAATTCTGTAAGTAATTCGAATTATAAATGAGCATGCCCTTGTGCTTATTGGAGGCCCATAACATTTGCTGAAAAGTTCCATAGGGCCCGCTCGGAATGCAAATACAACTTGAACATATTTGGCTTGTCTACAAATTGGTCTCATATGATGCAATACGTCGGCCAGATACGCGCCCGTCTAATGATGATGTTGGTGAGGACTTCCTTGAAGCCACACGAGCTGAAAACTCACCTCCCGCTGCTCCCCAGCTGAAGCCAAGTGTCTGGCGGATGACATTATGTTCCTTCCGCCTGCGGCCGGCACATTCGAGAGTTACAGGAAGGCTAACAACGGCGAACTTTCTTAACTTCTCTTTGAAGCTCTTGCAGAGTAGATGTAACCTCTCGCTCCACCAGACCTTGACTCGGACGCGGCATCATTCAAGCCCGCGCTTGGAGCTGGACACCCAGTGGAATTGTAACAAATTTGCGCAACGCAACTTGGGTCCGACCCCCGCTAGTTCACAGCTTGATAGCGTCATAACGATCACAGTGACCGCAGATGGGGCAATGTTCAATGTAAGAGAATGGCCCTGTGAAAGCTACACAAGACTCTGGACACATGTCGTGTTCGATGGACTCGACTCCAGTAAATTCAGCAATGAGGCGTTCTATTTGGTAGTAACGGGGTATCTCGTTCGCATCTCCAACGAAACAATGTCCTGCAAATCTGCGAATGCGTTCATATGTATCTTGAGCCGAATGCTCGAGTGCGAAATATTCAGAAATCGCAAAGCGAATAGCTACTAGTTGATTAATCTCAAGGGGTGCTTGGTGAGGTTCGCAAAGACGATGTAAAGCAGCTGCATTAAGTTTTGAACAAGGATCGTCAAGGGAAGCATTCTGCAGCGGACGGACCGTGGATTGCTGAGAACAATGCACACCTTAATGCTGCAGGTAATACGGTATACTTGGTAAGAAGGATGCGTTGGTGCGGTAGTGCACAGCCACAAATCTCAGAGTTGCTGCACCCTACCGCGTCACTACCGTACCCATGAAGTACTATATTTACTATGATACCACGATAATTCTTACACAAAAACATGTACTATGGTATTTCTTAATCATAAATAATATTTAAGACCTTGGTGGACGACGTAGACATATTATATACACACTTGTTGTGTAGGGTGCGGCACGGATGCGGGTACGATGCGGCAAAATCCCAAGGCCCTTGCCAAGCGGGCCGGTAACAGCCGTGAGACAGACAAAAAAATTCATCATATCTGTATACACAACCCTCCGGGCACCCCTGGACCCGTTATTTCGTGTATCTTTTACCGCCCATCCACAAATTATTTCTTACTCGTTTTTTATCACACACACCTATCTCACCATATCTCTATCAATTTACATTGTCTCTTCTTTTTCCCTGTCACCGTCTATATTTCCTATTTCTCGTCACCATCTGCTACTCCTTCTCCGCGGCCAGAACCTCCTTGACTCCTGCCTTCACTGCCGCTAATGCTTCGCCATCCAATCCTTATCTTGCATAATTCTGCTCAATAAAAATTGTCAGTTTTCGACTATATTGTCCATCGTTAACTCGCGCTTTCAAGAGGAATGTTGTGAACTCCTTATCCCGCTCCGCCATGTCCACTATCTGTCTTTCACAAAGTTTGCAATTCAGGCGAAGAATAGCAACGTTCCCTTGATTATACCGTTTGAGACGATTCCTCACTCTGACGATAGCCACCTGCGCTGAATTTGTGTGAATAAAAATGGGTGATATGAGACGCACGGGCACGCGAAATTAACATGAGATCATACAGGGAGGCACTCTTCAGTGCACGCTGAACAGCGTCCGGCAACGCTCATGACCATAATACTGAAAATTGGCTAAAGAGTTGAGGGGCTGACGCGGTTGGCTGCGCAGCAAGTATGCACAACAAGAGGAACAGAGCAGAAGAGGCGCCAATGATCAAGGATCAGTCATACCTTTAGGATACAAAATAGCACGACCATACAATTCAAAAGCATAAGTTCGGGGTAGCGTATGCTCCGGGAGACATTCGTTTTGCAAAAGAGAAAGAGGAAATCGGTTGGGCGCGACCGAAACAAGCTCTGCAGCACGAACGTTATACGCACAAACTGCACACGCGCCACGTTTCTGATTGGCAGGGAACATCTTGTCCTGCCATTCAGCAATGATGCGAGTCTTGTCAGCCATCGTACAAATGGCCGGGAACTGGAGATCGTCCTCGATGGCAACATCAGATTGGAAGTCGCGTCAATGCGCCGCAGAGTCCTGTTTGCGGGTAGCAACGCGCGCCATATCGGAAACCATCGCGCGGGACGAGGCCTTCGCAACAGCGGAAGTGTGTGAGCTCGTTTGAAAAAGGGTTCAGGAAGATATTCTGGAGTGAAACGACGGCGCGCATGGAGCAAATGTTTGAATACAAAAAATAAATCACCAGTGTTTATTATACATATAAACACGGAGGAGGTCACGCACATAATCGCGCGTATCAGTCGCCTTAACAGACAGGGAATGAGAGCGGGCCAAATCGTCGAAATGGGCACGAGTCATCATTGGAAAGTTATCAATCAAATGACGGACATTAGGGGCAGACACCACCAAAAGCACTCCAGATGATACTGCTGAGCAGCGGTGAGCCGCGCTCTAGATACTCCATAATACTCAAACAGCCTCCGGAGTAGGGCGTGACATGGGTGGACCCGGGTGGCACCCGTACCCAATCCGCGGGTAGATGAAACTTCAGAGGCCTACCCGCACCCGTACGGGTAAGAGTATCACGGGTGCGGGTGAATCCATGGGTGGACCTGCAGGTGATATGGGTCACCCGCGGGTGAACTAGTATATGTTATGTAGAACTGTACATATGAGAACATATGTATGAAATATATGTAAAAAATCAATCAGAGTCAACATCAATTGTGTCACGGCGTGAGGAGTCCTCTTTTCCCTTCCCTTCTCCCTTCTCCTTTCCCATTTTCTTTCGCATGATTTTTGTAGCGATACTGAGATCGGGCATAAGGGGTGTATTGAACCAAGATCCGACGGCAACCTGTGCCTTGAAGGTCTGCGAGCTGATACCATGCTGAAGGTGGTTAACTTGCAGACGTCCACCAGAGAATGCCCGTTCGGCGTCAACTGAAGAAGCTATACGAGTGTCAGCACTAGTGGTGGGTACAAGCCCTCGTGAGTTGTCATACCTGGTGCTGACAAAAAATCCAATGCCATTTGTGCTAGTCGAGGTCGAGTGGCACGAGCGTTCTCCCAATATTGCAGAACTCCACCTGCAGCATTGACCTCAGTCCTTGATACACGCGGGGACTCAAGGTAGGCTTCAATGGAGTCTGGGCAGGTGAAATTATCTTCTCTGTCCTCTTCGTCACTCAGGCTGTGGACAGCCCATTTACTAGAAGTGCGGCGGAGCTGCGAGACAGGTGGGTCTGGAGCCTTGGTTGGGACTGGTGGCACGAGTGTCGCATATGACTCAGTCCACCGCACACGAACAATGCGCTTAGCTTCCTCGCTATCGCTCTCGCGCCAATCTGGGTTCCGGTCGAACCAGTGAAACTTTTTATGAGGGCACATCACTAGTAGTATAGTAGCTCAACAATCAGTAGGGTGCTCACACTGGTCTACAGCTACTCGACACTCACCAATGGCAATTCGGTAAACCTCGTTGTCATCTGTCAGGGCATAATATTTGCCGACAACTTCGAGTGCTGCTTTGGCAGCAATGCGAATGACGGGCGGCGAATCATCACTTGCATTGTAAACACGGTCCAGAGCATGTTCAAGACTTTCAAGCATAGGGACGACTTTGTATATTAATGGTACCTCGGCTTGTGAGAAAACATTTGTAAGGTCGTTGAAAAGCTAGAGACTCATATCAGCGTCGAATCAATGACCTATAAAATGACCTGACCTCGAGAACAGGTACAAGATGCGTTGCAAGTTCCCACTGTGACTCCGTGAGTGCATAATCACTCATCTTGTCCTCAGACGTGGTAAATATTTTAACCTGTCGATGCCTCTAGTGAAATGACATGTAGCTACATTACTATGTCGTACGATTGAATAATACTAGAGACACTCACTTATAATCTCATCGTCAGTATTGCTCCAGATTCCTATGTCAGACTGCTCTGCTTTGGCACGGCTCCGCTTCTTTTTCGGAGACTCTAGAACAGGAACCGGAGATGCCGCCGGTCTTTTACAACTGCGTGTATTTGTTGCTGGCGAGTTGAAACTGCTCCTCGACATGGAGGATCGAGGTTAACTGACGAGAGACTCGGAGAGAGGGACCAGGCCACCAGGGTGACAACTAGCCGTGCAGCACACATCAAATTTAAACATCTCGAATAGATGTCGGTTGGCTCAGCGAGCTTGATTTTGACATCGGATAAGTGCAAGTAGGGAGGGTACAATATTCATCTGAAACTAATTTGTCACTTGGCACCGGTTCATACCTCTCATTGGGGTACTAGACCACCCGTGGGTACCCGTGGATACCCAACTTTAGCAAGTCCTCCCACCCGTACCCGTGCGGGTGAGCCACCCGTACCACCCACCACCCATACCACCCGACCCACGTTCCATCCGTGGGTGGCACCCGGATGGGTACCCGGGTAACCCTCACCCATGTCACGCCCTACTCCGGAGGAGAAATAAGGAAACAACTGACACGTCATCGTCAGCGATATGATAATCAGCGATCACAAGGGAAGCTGGAGGTACAGAATCGTGCATAGAGCGCACAGCGGACGACGAAGACGCAGGCATGACATTCAGAAGAGAACTCGGAGAACAAGCCCCTCAACCAAAGGGGACCAAAAAAAAAGGAGAAGCGCGGGAAATTGTGGACCAAACCAAGCGAACCGAGCGGGGCGCGAGCGGGCTGGTAACGATCATTGGACAGAGGATTTTTTTCGATAGACCTGTACCCTAGGTCGGGTCCAGGGACGTCCAGGAACAAATTGCCTCAATATTTTGGTGCTTCTATCTTGGCTCCAGTCCTCCAGTGGAAGTGTCTCCGTCGGTGCTAGCGCTGATCAATCTTGTGGCGTCCACATATATCCGATCCACCGCCAACGACAGTTGAAACGTTGAAGCCTGGGCTGCCGAATATCGCATCGAGTGCCGACTCGGAGAGGATCCGAGTATCAAGCGAGAAATGAGTATGTATGTCGAAAGTGCTCGTAATGTTGAGGCGGCCATTCTGCAGGTCGGTCTTCGATATATCTTTCAGATCAAGGATCTAGAGATCTGTTTACGTTCGGCATCCACCAACACCCACAAATAACGCACACGCCGTTCCTTTGATCATCGGAAGTCGTTTGGTGCAGCCTAGGTAAATTTTGTTCGAATAACGGGAACGTGAGCTGACATATATTCAGCTTATACCTGTAAATAGCTGCTTTCTGATGGCTTGGGAATCATCTGACGAGTATGCACAGGCTCTCCTGGCTGTAAGTGTAGCATGTTCCACGATGAACAGACTGATTTACGCTATTACGACTAGCTGGCACGTTCGCAGCCGTCCAACTTGCCAACTCCAAGTAGTACTCCCAGCACCTCCTGCATTCAAAACGCCTCGTTCGTGCCACCGCCGCATGCATATAGCAGGCAACACGTGCGGACAGATCAAGCGTATAACACTATCCAACACCAGCCACTGGCGCACTCAACATTTGTCAACGACACTACAAGAGTCAGTGCTAGGGGTAGGGATAACCATAATGTAGGCCTGGACTACTATGGTAACCGCGGTAGGTTTTTTGAGTCAACAATCGCGTTTGCTACTAATTTAAATTTAGGACGGAGTCGAGGGACTCCAATGGCTCCCTTCCCATTGCCTTCACTATGTCCGGAGCCCAGCACACCCACACCTACCAAGGGTAATGTAAAACGTGCTCGTGCAGGCACAATTACTCCAAAATCGAGATCAGCCAAGAAGCCCCGTAGATATAGTACCACCAAGGCCATGCAGATGAACACGATTACAGAGGAGAATGTCTTCCCTCCTAACATCAACCTGGAAGACGATGGTGATCATGTAGACCAGGTGATACGAAATACCCGCTGGTCTGCTGACGAAAAGACCCTACTGTTCGAGTGTATACTTGGCCCTGACTCTGACGACATTTTTGAATTGCTCAAAGTCGCTCCAAAGGCAGTCTTCGAAAAGGCGAGTCTTGAGTTTTTGTGTGAATCGCATACTTATGATTTGTCTAGCTTTCGGTGACGAATTTCAAGGGCAAATATAGCTGGAAGTCAATGAAGAGCCAATTTACTCGTTCTATGGCAACATACTCGTTGATCGTAGTTTTTGAGGCATATACTAGCAATGGCGACGATGGCAGAGATGACCCACCCGACGACAATGGAACCTTCTTCGCAAACCTTGGGAAGAATCGGCCGAGTAAGTCGTTGCGGTCTGCGATCGATGCCAATCTACTCGAGAATCAAATCACGAATGCTAAGGCTGCTGGCCATAACGTTGGGGGACTTTCTGCTAAAGTGATCAATGAATGGTATACTCAAGGTTGGTTCGAACTTTTCTCTATTAGGTCAGATTTTTTTCAATGACTTGCTTTTCGTTTTGCTGACAACGTTCTTAGGTATGGGAAGAGTCAGCAGACAGCTGTGTCAATGGCAACAATAGATGAGTTTCTGAAGCAGAAGGGGGAGTTGGACCAACAACGTTTTGAAGCTCAGCAAGAACGGTTGGCTCGAGAGGAGAAGCAAGCGGAACGCATGTCAAAGATTGAGGTTGCTCGCGCCATGCTATCAGCTCCCTCCATCCAAGTTGATCCTGATGTGAAGGCTGCAGCAAGTAGGTTCCTTTGCCGCTTCTTTGATACTTGATGTTTCCCAGTGAAAATCGACAAGAAGCATGTATATTACACGTCGATATAAATAATAGAGGCCGTACATGTGGATTTTGTCGTCCCGTTTCAGGAAAAAAAAAACAGCACTTTCCAAGACGAGAAAGGATAGAAGACAAAAGCTAGAATTTAGATCTTTGGTCCATTATTTGCTGGCCATATACTCGAGCTCATTGTCTCTGACAGCAGGAGCGCAGGTTTATATAGGAAGGATCATAAAGAAAGTAGTTGAAAGTAGAAACAGCCAAGAAAGTAGAGGTTCGATAAACTATAGGCAAGACTGTAGAGCTGGTCGCTGTGGAGGATGAGATGAAAGATACAATCACACGGAATTGTACACACTAACCAGAGCCAGAAATCTGTGAACTGTCAATAGCGTCAACTGCAAGCTAAGTCAAAATAGTAGCGATTAACAAAGAACAGGTAAAACAGCACATGAACAGAACTGAAGCGCGAGCATACCTTGCAAGCAAGCACTCAGCGCCCTGGCATGACACCTACAGTCTGCTCGAATCTTCGCTAATGCAGCCTGCCGCGTAAGATGGCCAAGTTTACTAGGTCTGGTAACTTGCAAAAGATTAGACACACTTCCATTAACATCCCGAGGACAAATGTGACGAAAATCTTGATGTCTATGGTCGGTCGTAGGAAGCAAAGGAGAAACAGGAGCCAAGATGCTACCAACGCAAGTTACGCAACAGGACGAGCAAGTGAGCTATGACGAGAATGCGACGATGAAGATGGGCAGGTCATGATGTCTATTGTCAGTCGTAGGAGAGACAGGAAAACGAAGGCGTAGCAACAATCAAACATCAACAAACAATATAAAACATCCAGTATGATCGGTTGTACTGCACTGAAACCAGTACCCTTTACAGGGTTCCTGGAATGGCAAGCAATATAGCCGAAGCATGAATTTGTGATTACGATTTACATAAGCAATGCTTTAGATTGTTAACGTTATAAGTATATTACATTGTATCGTAATGTACCGGGAAGAAGCATTTGGGCTTACACAATATCGACTTCTCACCAGTTTACTGATTGGCAGTGATTCTAGATCTAGTCTTTTGAACCATCTGTTTATGTTACAGTAACGTATACGCCTCCAGGTGCCAGACTGGAAAAGGTGTCTGACGTGTGGCTCACCTACTCTCCTCCAGGAGATGCGTCGCCAAGAAGCACCGCTGGCAAAGCCAACACTGAGCGATCCAGAGGCAGCTGAGGAGGGCTGACAAAACGGCAGCGATGAGGAAGATGCTGATGAGAATGACGGCATGACAACGATGAGTCCGATGGTGAGAGTGAATAGTTGTTTACCAATTGTAAAGATAACGTCCTCAGCCTAATTGGTTGAGAGAACACAAACTTCGATGCGACGCTATGCGAGCAGCTGCCTAAAAGCTCCGCTCAGTGAGCGGCTCGGGATTTTGATTTGGCATAAATTGAGCCAGAACAAATTGAACTGCAAGATTCAAGCTTGCTGCAAAGGTTATTCATAGTGCACCTACCGCTGTAATCGACATGGGCCGCCGCAAACGCAACTCCGAGTCATCTGCCGATGAGAGACCGACGGTACGTCTTCATCATCAACAAGTCGTGGAATACAAGAACGTTGACTAGTAATGGATGCAGGTAAAAGAGTTGCGCGCCAAGATGGATAAGCGCCCAGTAGAGGCAAATACGCCAACAAACGACCCAGCTCATGCGGCTCAGAAGATGGACATGGAGCTTGCCAAGTGCAGGCTGGGTGTGGCATATATTGATATTTTCAAGATCCAGAATCCCCTGCTGTTCGGCAAATACAACGACCGTCCGCAGGTCGAGAGGGAGGTGAACAAGCTGCTTGCATCCTTCAAGAAAGAAGGAATCCTAGCGATGCGAGAAGATACTGCCATACCGATTATGGTGTCAAGCGCACGCCTCCAGAGTGGTTTGCAACTTGCACTCAACTTCAACGAGGAGGAGGTGCCACCGCTGCAATTGAAGGATGCGCATACTATTGTGGTAGCATCCGGTCAACATCGCGTCGCTGCGCTCAAGAAATACTCAAAGAACGTTCTGGATGAGATCGCTGCTGTCGAGAAACGCCGCCACAAGATAAATGAGATGAGGAATCCATCAGAGGAGCACATCTCCGAGTATAACCGCCTTCGCAGCGAGCTTGGTGAGCTGCGAGGTGCATTGATTCTAATGGCGAAGTGGGGAGTCATCGTATATGATGAAGGTAAGCAATTTCATCTGTGGAACAGATCCAGTGGCGCAATATTGTCAGCACGGTCTCAGCTTGGTGGCGACTGACAAACTCCGCCACTGGAACGGTTTCAGTGGAGGCATATATATCTAGAGCTAATACATTGATGTATACCTACAGACACAGTCTTGGCAGGCGGCGATACACTAGCAAACCACTTGTCCCGAAACAAGTCCTTGCACGAATACAAGGAAACGCCCGAAGAGTTGTTTAGCGGCATCCTGCGATTAATAAAGGCAGCATATAAGAATGCACCAGAGGAAGAGCGGGTTGCAGCTGCACGGGCTGAACTGCAGCTTCAGCGCGACAATATGGAAAGGCAGAAAAACACGCGGTTGACCAAAATCCTCAGCTATGAGAAGCTCGTGTTGACGCTTGCCATCGATCTCCTGCCGTTGGGATCGCACTTCCGCCGTCGCAGAGAGTTCCATATCACCTGGCTAGCTCGATCCATTGATGTTGTGATGGGGGTAAGCCCTGTCTGCCTAGTATGCGCAGCTGGACCTTACGTATTGTTACAGATGTTTATCCAATTTATTCAGTTTCACACTCACATCCTACGCCTGCTTGCATCCAATGACACCTTCCCAGACTACGCAACTGTGAGTGACACAATTGCAGCCGCATACGATGAAGAGTCAGGCTGCGACGAGGCTGTCACCAAACTGGAGGAGTGGCGCCAGATGATATACGATAGCGCGCCTAACCCAGATACCGCTATTTTCAATGATGTCTTTGACGACATGTCAATCCAAGTTGATGATCAGTTCAAAAACATCCCTTTAAAGGATATTGGGACCCAGGCACCCAGCTACACCACAAGCCTGGACAACTACTCCAACTACCTGGTCCGCAAGCTGCGCTCTCAATGGCACTTATCAAGAACTACACCAACGCAATGGAATACTATCGCCAAGTTTCATGACAGGGTGACCGCAAGAATCGCAGTGTGGCTGACACCTGAAGATGGTGCGCAGGAGGCGCCTTTTCCACTATTATGCGGGCATGTCCTCGACATCGCATGGTCTATGCTAGCATCTAACAGTGCTGCATTTGAGGAGGTAAGTATTACTATATGGCAGGAAAGCCGTTTTCCGTTTTGTCCTTACTCGTTATGACAGATCAGCGGATGGTTCGAGCCTCTGCTGTTGCACTATCACACCCTTCATCGTCATAGCCATCTGATGGATGACAAGACGGAGGTCATGTTCACAAACCTCCGCAACGACCCGAGGATGGTTGAATCTGAGAAAATAGAGGAGGCGGTCAGTGTGATGGACGGGAGCTATGGTCTGTACAGCGCTGACATTCACCTTCCCAGGTGTTTACCTGCTTATGGGCCCTCCGCACGACGATGGTGCTGCGCCTCCAGAATAACCTGACCACCGCAATCGCTTGCAGTCAGCGGAGAAAGCCTTTCAAGGACCGAAAGGAGGTCGATGAAAAATTCGCGAAGCTAGGATCTGGCGGCAAGGATGACCTGAAGAAGTTGCAGAGTGTGATGACATCGAGGAAAGGGCGGGGGAGGGACCTCACGACTGAGCTGCAGGTGACCCCTTGGATCCTTGCGCTGCACGTCACGAGCTGGGACTGGAACAACTGCACGTCAAAGAACAGCAAGCGGGACATGGAGCCATTTATCAAGGCAATACTGCTTGACCTTGGCAGAGACCGCAACAGACGAGAGGATCTCTTCCATGATCCACTGGTGGCTGGCCTCCGGAAAACGCTCGAGGATGTGATTGCAAAGCACACAAAAGCTATCAATGTGGTTGGAAAAAATGGAAGGACCATCAAGCGGAAGACGTGGGTATGGTATGACGGTGCTGGGATTCCGTCAGATGTCGCCCCAACTGTGACAGCCTCACTCATGGTTGATGAACATGTCAAGGACACACACATTCATCGTTACCATGAGTTGGAGGAACGTGATCGTGCTGCTATTGTCAATTTGATCTTGTATGTCAAGCATATGGCAGGTGCGCAGGCAACCTCCTCGACCCACAGTCCGATGGCGGCGAATGTTGTTCGAGGTCTACAGACTTTGATACGTGTACGTTTATTATTTGCGGCTGCCAATGCACGCCACTGACGAGAAATGCATATTAGGAACTGGAGATCAATTGCACTCGTCTGCGCATACGAGCTCTGGAGGGTGACGACAGTATCTTATACAACATCAAGGATACCGTTGATCTTATGATTCCAGCTATACAAGGCGTAGAAGATCAACGCACGATTGTAAGTTTATGCACGTGTGTTGATCTTTATCTTGACAGCAGACAGCTAACGCACTTCCTGCAGGATGAACCAGAGGATGAGCAGGCCCTGCCTGCCTCCACAGCTCCTGTAATGATCCAGGCGCATGAGCCACAGTCTCAGATATTGACAACTAAATTGGTGAACTCACAGCAGCCACGCCCAGGGCCTGATGCTCATGGTGAACCACCCAATCTGAGCGTTGATAACTCCGCACCCACCTCACATAGTACTAGTACACTGGATACAACCAGGACCCTGCAGACTAAGGATGAAGGCAAGGCAAGGGCAGATACTGGTAAGCATGCGCTGTAGTCACCATTCCTTCTTCAGCTGACGAGTTCCAGGAACAGAAGGTCCTGTGGGTGAGTGGGGTAAAGGTGATGGATCCACCGACGGAACAGTGACAGGCATGAAGCCTGACTCGGGCGAAGAAGGCGGCGGGCCAGGGGGCAGGCGTACTGCTGATGCTGCAGCTACTGTGGCGTCGTGTGAAGGCGCCCATATCGATATCGATCAGAGACATACAAGCTCAGGCATAAAAGACCCTAGTATTCCTGTTGGAGATCTCGGGGTAGTCACTAGTAAGCAGATTACTGCTTTTCCTTGATCATATTGACGGCTCTGTAGCAGGCACATCCACTGACACTCACGCGATCAAGGCGACTGTCCCATCTATCCACCACGGTTGTACGTCTCTTTATCATTAGGCATTGGCTGTGACTTTAAGATGCGTTCGCCAGCTCGAACCGCATCAGTCCCTAAGACATCGCGCGCTGCAACTCCGAGTAGACAATCCGCCCTTAAGTCAACTGCGCATGTGACTGCAAGCCACCTCTCCAAGCGTCCAAGAGTTTCAACAGGTACTTCACTGTTGTTGCACATGCACCTGTGGCTTATACGTTGATACAACGTTCCAGGGAATTCCTTAGGCAATGCAAATAAGAGGGCTCGCAGCACTTACGCTAATGGCCACGATCTTGATGATGGCGATTGCATACTTGTGAAACCAACCATATGACTTTATTGCTCATTGTACGATACGCCAGTAGACTAGAGTCGTAACCAGTCTTTACTACGTCCGAGGTGTTTGATGTAGTCGATCTCGGGGAGAAATTTGGCAGGCGAAGCATGGTGTTTAAATTTCAGCAGGTGCCGGTACCGCGTCGTGCCGGTGATACTCATCATGTAGTTGAGTAGTTGTGCGCTACTATGTGAACCTCCCTTGAGTTTGTTGATCAATTCTGTCCCACCCTTGTCTTGTGCTGCTCTAGAAGCTATCAACAATCTACCAGTGAACTTTACGAACACCCTCTCAACAAAACAAAGCCAACAAAATCTCGAAGCTTTACTTCATGGCAAGGAACACAACATCCTAAATTATTTCAGCTCAAATGCATTATATCATTGCTTTCTGCAAGGAATAGATAGCTATTAGTACTGTCACACCTTTGAAACTGTTACAGCGTGATCCAGCTCGTGCAGTCTGCATAGCTGAAGAAATTATGTGTCATAGCCACAGTATGGTTTCTCATAACCGTGCTGTCAGGAAAGTGTCATGGCCAAATGAGAGGAGTAGTTCGGGGGTGACATCTTTCAATAACATAGTTGCTGGCTTGCTCGTCACCATGCCACACATTGAAAAACTGGACAAGGGCATTGTTTTGAAAAAAAACCTTCTCTCCGAGTTACCATGGAGGCTTTACTACCAGAGGTAGAGTATAACATGAGGTCCACGACCGTCATCCGAAGCCCATGAAGGATTTCTAGGATGGCCAGGATTTTTTCATCTTGGTCCAGGCTCGAAGGGTCAGTGACAGTCTAAATCAAAGGTTCAACAGGTGGCTGGTATTGGGGAATGGGCGAGTAGAATGCATTAAATGGTATCATTTTATCACGCTATTCAATATTCAGTACAGTTTCTCGATGTGCTGTGATGTTGGAGAGACATACAGTACTTTGTAGTACGATGTGAATGAAGGACCTTGCGTCGTCCATGCTGCGCACAAACAACCATTACTACCTAAAGCGGCACGACCGTCACTGAAGTACTGACACCTGTTAAAATTCAAACTCTGTGCGTCGCCTGCCAAATTTCTCGACTTGGTAATATAAGTTAAGCTGGTCACGAGCCTACATATAGGCTATGGAGACTCTGAGAGAACTGTCGGAGACAGTCAGATTCTCCCTGGGGGCATCCCGGCAGATTTCTGAATTTGGTACAAACTCAAAGTGCAGCCAGAAAGCCTCAATCCCAATGTTAAAGTTAATGTATAGCAGGCGGGAGTGAAGAGATCTTTAGCTTATGTCAAGCTTATGTACTAGTACTGGGCGTATAACTCGGATGCGATAATGAAGGTGAGTTGTCTGCAAATAATTTTCTGCTGCGAAATGTAGTATTTTGTGGTATTAGCTAGGGACGCCTCAGTGGAAACACGCACGCTTGGATACAACAGCGAATGAGGATAGGTGAGCTATGAGGGGGCTCAGAAGGTATCTAGGAAAGCTTGTTCTGGGTTGGCATAGCGTGACTTTGGTCATTCATCGTACTTTACACCCTGAACGCAGAATATGGTGAGCGACCGAGACAAATAAATACTGCTGTCGTTCTGGAAAAACAAGCCAAAGTCTGTCTAAACATGGCTCAGCGTACGCTCACCACGGGGAGCGCACAAGATGTTAAGTTTCGGCTTCTTAACCTCCAGCAGCTCAATTTGTGTCCATCTGGTAAAGCTACTTTCAGTCGGTCTTGATGACTGCCAGAGGAGAGACAAATGACGATGGTGCAGGCTGGAGTGGTATTTTCTGAAGAGGGCACTAACACTGATGGATGACCAGAGAGTTTGAACGATGTTCGCTGAGGAAGTTGCGGTAACATAAATGTACAGTGCAATGTCTATGTCCTACAAGAGGGTTCTATAGAGGGAACTGAAGTTCACATCATGCCAGCTCTGAAGTAATGGTGTAGATGCTGGGACAAGCATACTGTGAAGGCGCCGCGTCAGGTACGGTCAGCACCAGAGAAGGACGAGATGGCCTACCTCGTTGTTATCGGCCAGTTCCTGTAGCTCAAGACGAGAGTTGAGACTTGTGGGGATGAGGCTTTGATTATTGAGGTGGGAAGATGGACTTACACGCTGAGGAAACTATTTAGATAGCCTGCAATGCGGGATAAATATGTGATAGAAGGTAAAGCGGAGGGGCGCACAGTGACTCATGAGGGTGTATGGGACGAGAAAGGCACCATTGCGGGGGCAGACGAGAAACTGAAAGGGAGAGATTGTGAGTGGGATAACCTCTCCCGTCGAGATCCGTACCAGTATGAGAAATAGCGCTCCATCTATACTGAAATGACGAGTCAGTGGTGGAAACAGCGCTGTATGGGGACACGATTACGTAGTTATCAAGCCCACATTGACAACCAGCACAGTCAATCTGCTGATGAGACCGCCGAGTCTGGACAAAAATGAGCCCACAAGACTAAAAAACAATGGACAGGACGAACCTTCCTCTCCCGGTCCGGGACTTATGAAACAAGTACACTTGCGTAGCGGCAATGAGGAAGTCGCATGCCATTGAAGATAAGTAAAAACTAGAAGCGGGCAGCTGAGGGTCGCGTGAGGTGTGAAAGTTGGCCAAGAGATATGAAGGCGAGCTTACGTTGCTAACATGAGTGCTATCCCACAGAGGATCGTGGATGCTGGGAGAAATGCCAGTGTCAGTTAGTCCGGTATTGGACCAAGAAAACTCACGTTTTGACAACCATTGCTGTGACCAGTTTGAGTCAGATGACATAGAGTAGAAACTGAGCGTAGTACGTACCTCCACCTGATCCTGTGAGTTATCAATCAACTATGTCACGCTCACGATAGATTGTTCTTACCTAGTGCAACCAATGCCAAAAGGACCTGCGGCGTCAGCGCTACGAGTAAATGGGGATATGAATGCAGACTTCCCAAACTTACTATGAAAAATGTGACTAGAACGTTTCCAAAGCTAACTAGAGAGTTTTGAGTGTAGATTCTCAAGACTGTTAGTTTAGACCTCACGTCTCCATATACGGTAAACATATGTTCTGGAAAGTGGAATGAGTGCTCATCGCCACAAAGGAAAATAACAGACGTACAATTGCACCAGAAAAGCTATTATTGACTATGATAGAGTGAGAATGCTTATGATTAAAAGGGATGTTGGACAACCTACAGTAATTCCCATTGATGCCTGTAGTAATGAGAGGTTACGACGCCATGATATGATGAAACAAGAGAAGCCCACCTCAAACGTTCTAGTCAAAAATAAATATGAATAGAATGACAAGTGCGAAATGACATACTTAGATATATGCGATGACATTGCGATGTCACCTTGCCAAACTATGGCATAGTGATATATTGATGCGACGACAAGGGCGAGTTGTGCTGTGTCTAATGCCCTGGGGAATATGAGTCAGTGCAAACCAATTAGTTTCAAGTGACAAACTTAACCACAGAAAGGCTACCTGAAAAAGACGCTGGAGATTTGCAAATGGGAATGATATACATGATATGCGGTGCTTACCAAGGCCTTCATAGACCATCTGTCTTTTGGATAAGTTCGAAAGTACCACCAGGTCTGGGCAAGAGCAAAGCCATAGAACCTAGTAAAAAGATCATGATAAACAATGTCAGGATCGACTGCAATAAGCTTACATGCTGGAGATGATGACTCCTGATAGCAGTCAGCAGGAAGTCATGAAAAGATGAAATATGATACTAACCAATGAAATGTGAAGTTAAGACGGAGAGGGTATCGTTCATGGTAGGGGATGGAAGAGTAAGGGGAGGATGAGGGGGACATATGAATCAGATATATGTGCTATGGAGCGCTTCCACAAATGAGATGAACAAGTAGAGAAGCTGAACGACCAGAGAAGCTAAATTACGTGGGATGGGGCAATCCGACCTCCGCCAAAAACAGTACTTTCGAGAACTATCAGGCCCATCAGTGGCATCGGCAATTAGCTTCATTCAGTTTAATAATTTCTTGTAGTACTAGTCCTTACTTGGTCAATCAAGATTTCCAGTACAAGTGTTGTACATACAAGCGTCCTCGCGAGGAAGTTCAATCGAAGGAGAAGGCCTTGGCCCTTCATGCACATGGTTACTTGGCCGGTAATAGCCGGAGTCTAATGAGATCATTATGTCACGCCTCCGCGCGCATCGGCTCAGGGCTGAGCGCTGAGCGCTGAGTTCCGGTTCGCGGCTGGTGCTCACTCTCCGGTAGGCTCCGAATCGGCACCTGCCCTTTCAATGATCTTACTTATAGAAATGACCTCTAATATAATGACACTAACACCTGCGGCAAAATGGACAGGCTTGAAGGTGAACTGGCGAGCAAGAAAGTCAACATATTCACTGACATCCACCAGAGAATGAAAGAACGTCCCTTCTCTCTTCAGTCCAGCAAAAGTCGAGGCCATGAAGGCCTCCGGTCCTCATTCGGCCCAAAATCTGTATTATCCCAACCAGAGCAAAGCAAGTCCACGAGCAGCAAAATAAAGCCTGCCGTGCTACATCCTAACATCACAAATCTGAAGCCGGACACTCCTAGTAGCAATGACGTTCCATATCACCCAAATTCCCCTCCGAAAACATTGCCCGATATCACAAGGAAGGAGGAGTGGCAAGAAGGAGACACTGGGAGCTTGCGTGCACCAACACTTCATCAGGACGAGGACCATGAAGTTGCCATAAACTATCACAGCAATGCGCGGATCAACGTCGCCCTTAGACCATTCCCCATGGATTTACGGGATCTCAAGACGGCGTACCATTCTGGTGTTCATTCATCCTCCAAGAGCACGGAGTTCAAGCGAGTCTTGGATCATAGCGATGGAGAATGTGGGCGAAATGTTAAGAGGCCCAAGGAAGACGATCCAAAGTAAATCCTCTTACCATCCCTGCTGTTCCCGAATCCCACCTCATAGTTTTAGCAGAAATTCGACAAAGCTGACACTGGGAGATGAGGACTCTCGTATGTCATCTTTTCATCATGCATATCCCTATTCAACGCCTCTACGCACAGTTGAAATAGACCAAGTAGTTGATCCGTCTATGTTGTGCCCATATTGTGATGAACCACTTCCATGTAATCCAACGTCACAACTGAATGATCTCTTGGCCACTGCGAAGCAGCAATCTTACGGAGACCCGCGTCCTCAAAATCCTTTTGGACTTAAGGCTCCTCTAGCAATTTATATCTCAGCCTGTCAGCGCCATCGCTTCGAAACCCATTGGTTGCCTGAGGCTCTGGAGAAAGGATGGCCGCAAAGCATTGACTTCAAGGAGGTGCCCAAGAGAGTCGAGAGCATGAAGGGTGCGCTTGAAGATTTAATCACCGATGCTGACGACTGTAGTGATAATGAGAGTTCGGTATATGATGATATCAGGGGTCCCCGAGCCCGAAGTATCTTCTGGAGAGAACTCAAGAAGGACATCCAGAGACAAGGCAGTCGAACTACCACCGGTGTGAAGGGCCAGTTTTCCACCTTCGAGAAGACTCAACCTGGATAGTAAGTGCATCCGATTCTCGTTGGTATATCCCCACTAAATGACGTTTTAGCTATGGTGAACTTGGCTTTTTGATTATACACCAAACGCTCTACAATCTCTTTCCATTTTCATCATTTGATACTTCTTTGATAGCTCCTCTCTCACCTGCGGAGTTTGTTCAATTTGTATTGATTCCCGAAGTTGCAGTACGGCTCATCATGCAAGACCTTCATCTTGACAGGGACGAAGCAATCATGACGCTACGTGAAAGTTCGCAGTATGGTGTTAGCATGTTCCCTGATGTTGGCTCTGGTAGTGCTGTTTTTGATGATGATGGTGATGATAGCAACTATGAGAGCGTTGCAGATCGCATTGTTATGGAACGTGCCAAAGCTAGGAGGTTGGAGCTCGAGGAAGAGGAGAGGATCGAGGAGAGGATGTAGAAAGAATAACAGGCGGAGCTCAGGTTGAGAGGAAAATGACAGCGCGCCAGCTGGCAAAGCAGAGTAAATCGAGGGATTTGTAGCACGGCGGCCTATCTCCTGTGATGTCAATGAAGCGAGCGAGTGATAAATTTGTCGCCGGACACTCAACTTTCCAAAGCATTACAATTTGCAGAATGGTAGCGGCCCACAGTAATTTCCCAAAAGGTTTCCGTACTTATCCTGTCCCTCCGGACTATGCTACAGTTGGAACTGCCGCATGTTAATGTTTTGTCAAAGGTTGATTTGATAACTCAACCGGAGACCTGGGTGCGACGTCACTTTGTAGATTCCAATCTCAATTTTTACATGGAGGTTCCTATTTGGAGAACGCACTAAACACTTCATCACTGCAGTACTGCAGTACACTGCTCTCATGGTCTCACCTAGACTCGTAACCAGTCTAAGTTACTACGTCTGAAATGTTGTCATGTAAGTGTTTGACGTAGTAGATCTCGGAGAAATTTGGCAGGCGAAGCACGGAGTGTAAATTTCAGCAGGTCCTGGTTGCGCCGGTGATACTCAGTAGAGTAGTGCGTCTAGACCAAGTCTAGACTGTGTGCTACCATGAGTTTGTTGATCAATTCTGTCCCACCTTTGTCGTGCGCTGCTCTAGAACGTATCGACAATCTACCAACGAACACCCTTTCAATGAAACAAAGTCAACAAACTCTCGAAGCTTTCGCGCAACTTCACAAGAAACACAACATACTAAATTATTTCAGCTCAAATGCATGATATCGTTACTTTCTGCAAGGAATGGGATTTTTTTATCTTGGTCAAGGCTCGAAGGGTCGACGACTCGACAGTCCAAATCAAAGGTGGCTGTTGTTGGTGATGGGCGTGTGTGATGTTGGCCAGCATCCAAACCTCACTGCTGGTTGCCTGCAGGTCCTGCTTCGGAACCCTCGAACATCCTTGCTTCTAGTGCAGTCAGACACTCGAGGTCGACGTCAGCCACGAAGCTGTTGGTAGGATAGCTTATCATGAGATCAGCCCAAGCCATCTGCGCGATAATAAGGGTTTCTCAGAGGAGACAAAACGAAAGAATGCTTAGTAAAATAAATTTATTACTGCCTATGGACAATTACAGTGTACGACGTCTAATTCTGTCAGGATGAAAAGGAACACTGTTAGAATATCAATTATTATGACGCATCTAAAATAAAATATACCTAAGTTATACGGACAGTGTGACAGTTGAGGTGGTGAGGTCTGACGCGGCATGAATGAAGTTTGACGCGGCGTGACGCGCAGGTGACGCGGCACTGACGAGGTTTGACGTGGCGTGACGCGCGTGTGACGCGGCACTGACGCGGCATGGAGGAGGTTTGACGCGGCACCGACACGCATGTGACGCGGCACTGACGCGGTATGTGCTATGGTTGACGCGGCATAGAGTGTGGATGTTGATATTAGTACAGAGACTGCGAAGATATTTGGGAGAACTTGTCGTGGTGTGAGTGGTGCTTGACCCAGCCTAAACGAGGCTTCTGACATGCCATGGTTGGGGCTTGACGTGGTGGTGCAGAGTATAGAGAGTGGATCGAACTTGACAAGGTGAGGTCGAGGCTTGACACAGTGAGATAACACTTGACACTGCGTCTGAAAACCAACATAGATGAACGAATTAGAGGTAATGCAACAATGTGACAGGACTGACGTGCAAGATGCATACTAGTAGTAGTGTGGTCAGAGGACAAGCACTGTAAATTTGGTGAGAGGTGAATACAGCACTATAGAGCCTGTACGCAGGCAGACACTCATATGTTGATCATTAACGAGGATTCAAATGAAGTTGTGTGAACAGGATCTGTACATAGGAATTTGTTCGTCACATATGCCGCGTCACAGGCGCGTCACGACCGCGGCAGGGCCGCGTCAATTTCACCTGGCCCCCTATGGATGGCTCATTTGATGATTTCGAGAGTCAGTATGATGAGGAACCGTCCTCAATTCGCGCGAGAAGGTGAGGTTGGATAGGGGACCGGAGATCGAAGCTGACTTGGATAATGTTGCAAGAGAAAATGAGGAAGTTAAAGCTGCTGCATCAGCAGAAACATTGCTGGCTATATAGTACTATATAGTTGGGATAGACCGTGTAGCTCTGTTGTTACCTGCCCTGTATATAGAACGTGAGGTAACTATATTGTGCTATATAGCGCTATGTAGAATCAGGTAGCGCTAACAGGCGCTACAGTAGTAGCCTGTATTTCGTAGGACTACCTACTACAGGGAACTACCAGCAGCTACATAGAGGAATAGAGTAGCACACAAAATAGCACGAAAAAAAATGAATTCAGATACATAACACAGCGCTACCGACAGATTCTACTAATGCCTTGCACGATCCTCCGCGCCCTCTTCACATCTATGAGCCTCAACTCCTGTTAGCCTCTGCACCCTCCTCCTCCTCAAGTTGGTACTCGCGAATCGCATCATCAAAAGCCTTGTCACCAATCCGGGATGCAGCCGACAGCAGAGTGAGGGCTTCGACACCTGCATGCGAACTTAAAAGCACAGATGTTAGGTTGGCACTTGCGAAAATATAGTGCGACGTACCGAACCCTGTGATGCTACCGTCTTGCAGTAGCTCGGATTTATAAAGCCCTGTCGATGTCCAGTCCTATTATCCAACAGTCAAGACTCAAAAGCTCATGCAGGCCACTGTGCTACGTACCTTGAAGGCAAATGCTGAACCATTTTTCAAAGATTCTGCCAGGTCTCGGTTTTGCCCTATCACGTCCCTCGAAAGACTTGGCTGGAACCCAAAAAACGAGCTCATAAGTGAGCGCATCTTCATTTTGAGTTCACCGCGCACATGTGATGTGCGCCGCAAGAGCTTCATAATATATAAATAAATCAGACCAGTCATGTACTAAGAACGGAGGACTTACGATTTTGACCACTGGAGGTGTTAATTTGACGTTGGCACCTTTGATTTCGCATGCGTCGCGCCAGGCCTCTTTCGCTAACCTCATCTTTCGGGACCAGGTACTAGCTTACGAAATTCCGCAGGCGTCGGTCGTGGTATGGTGCGATGGCCGTCACTGGCAGCTGATTCATTACCCTGATGCTGCATCCTGTATTAGTGAAATGTTACCTTCACTTTTGCACTTTGTGAGGGCGTGTCTGGTAGTACTCACCAGCGATGTTACCATTTCGTGAGGGTGTGTCTGGTAGTAGCCAGTTTCAGTGTCGGGACCTGAAAAAATGTCAAGCAGATGCTACATAGAGGACAAGCAAAATGCAAGTAAGTCATGTCAATATTAATAGTGGTTGCAAGAAGCAAGCGAAACATGTTGAAAAGTCGAAAAGTTCAACCGTGGGAACCGATGGCATGCGTCTTGATGAGTAATCATTGGACTTTGAAGTTTTTGAATTCTCATAATGCGGTGGACACTGGACACTGGATGTGGAGTCGACTTATGGCCTGGCGCGCATTCCTACTGTCAACGGTTGGGACCATGATTAGCTTGTGTTTGTGTGACTCAAAAAGCGACCGTAGTGCATTGTTTGAAATATAGTGGTTCAGCAACCGTTGGGCATGGATGGTGCGTTTGCATTTGTGTGAACACGGCCGTTAATCTGACTTGATTCCAAAAGGATACTGTGCTGCGCAAGTTCGTGTCGTCTTCACGCTGACAAGTCAAGCTACGAATGTGTTATTCCCTGCTGGACCTGCTAAACCACCCGCCCACCTTGCTTATGTGGAATGGTTCACATCTTTCCAGCAACCCATGGCATGATGAGCTGTACAAAATTTGCCGTTTGATGCGTCATGGAGAGCGTCTCGGACATCCGCAGGGGCGTTCATCTTTTTCCAAATTTCGGCGCAGTAAGCACCTCGTGAATGGACGGGTAGTACCGTTCTGGAGCTCTGTTCCAGCTTCTTTGTAAACTTGTTCAGTGAGCGACACGCTTATTTAACTATTGTCTGATGAGTATAAGCGATTTTGAGAATTTTCGTAAGGAGGTTTTCCCTGATGACTACTACAAGCTATATAGTACTATGTAATACAAGTGTGTGCTACAGGATCAAGTATTTACTAGTTCGACTCGAAGCACCTCCTGTAGCTTTATATAGCCTGACTGTCAGCTACATAGCTGATGTAGAACTATATAGTGGCCTGCTTGCCTACATCTTACTACAGCGGCTATATAGCACTATGTAGCTGTCACCAGGGCTCCCAAGATTTCGAGTTTTTCCTGATGTGCGTAGTCTATCCTAGGCTTGACGAGAGTCGCCAAGAAGCGACCATGATGTTTGGAAGGCCCCTTTATTCGTTCAAGCAGGTCAGCTACCCTGCCTACGCGTTCGACGCCCCGCCGGATAGAAGGTAAAAGCAAATGAAATTTTGAGAAAGAAAAAAGACGTGGAACACTGAAAGAACTGGACGTGCAGTCGACGATAGTCGGGCATGCAACGTCCGAGTCAAGTTCATAGTGTCCAGAGTCAATGATATGATCATGATAGACATGCAACGTCAACTTCATGTTCGACGGTCTCGACGTCAAACGCTAAGCGTTCGACGACGGTGAAAAGATCCATTCAGTTAAAAACGTTAAGCGTTCACAGCGCTTTCATATCTGACCTTCTCAGCTTTCAGATCGTTGAGCGATCCAGAAACTTTAGTTCGTGCGCCCAGCGCTTTTGAATACAGAGCACTACCAAACTCCTCACATTTTGCTATCCATGCGGCATCCACTTGTCTCCTCTACACCTCTATCTGGGACTCAACAGCCTTGGTCAGGGTATGTTGTAATTTTTGCAGTTTGGGCATCCACCAAAAGTCGCATTAGCGACCGTTTCGAACCAAACCGTGCCTGGGTCGCACGCCAATGACTTCACGCATCCAAGGGACCTGGCAGGCGCTCAACAACTTGAACTGGATCTTGAGATATTAGCATTCAGATCGCGGCCTTCTGGCCGTACCAAAGGAGCTCCTGCTTTCGGCGATCTCATAGTATGCCCTGGATTTGCGCGGTGTTTGACCTTCTGGTCAACTCAGCTGAACATCTCTTCGCTCCCGACGTCTACTATACATTAACTTTAACATTGAGATTGAGGCCGTACTACAGGAGCTTTTGCTTCTGCTGATCTTGCATGCCACGGAATTGTGCGGCTTCTGCCGAAGGTAGCGAATGCTCCTTATCGCTTTGCCTTGCTCGTGGCACACGGGCACACAATCACGGATACACTGCTCCAACGTCTCCTGATCTACGCTGCAATCGGCCTTGGATGGTTAGTGATGTTAATGATCAATTGGTCGTTATGTACGCCTACTCAATAACCATTTTATTTGGCCATTTCACTCAGCATAAACCTAAATCTTTGACACGCATTCTGCTCGCTTGGAACCTCCTCTCGGCACTCGGTGCGACATTCCAGCCCAAGCTTCAAATTCAATTGTCATTGGCGATGGATCGGATATATATGTGGGCGCCATAAGATCAATCAGCACCAACGGAAGGCACTTCTACTGGAGGACTGGAACTAAGATAGAAGCCAGAATATTCACTTTTTGTCCGCAGCGATCGGCCCGGGAGGCCTTACTCTTCTAATTTCTGACGCCTTCCTCGTCGTGCCTAAAAGGGACAAAGCGCAAAGTTTGGATTTCTATTAGCGCCGCGCTAATTAGACATTGATGAAACTATCAACTTTCTGAAGAAAATCAGGCAGGAGGAAAGCATCTTCTTGGCTAGATCTATAACTACCCACCTTGAAAATCTCACACTAGACATTATTATGGGTGAGCTCCGGGACGCGACTAGTACTGCACATGACACAGCCTAGATCTCGCTTGAATCCATTGACTCATTTACGGGTTTCTAGCTGTTTTGCTCAAGGTGCTCCGGGTCATACAGTTATCCGCATGTGGTAAGCTTGTTCTGTATTATTTTCCGTGCGGAACCACCTATACATATTCAGGCTTTCCGCTTAAATATGACTGACAATGAGCAGTTGAGTCGCTCCCCTGCCCAAAATTTTATCCCCCATGGACTACTTGATTCCCCAATCATGTTATGTTGGTAAACTTCCCGTGGAAACCCTTTCTCAAATATTTATGCTAGCTGCACATGGTGCACCCAACGAATCCCTTCAAAGCGTTGCAATGCCACATGTACTTGCATCTGTGAATCTGCACTGGAGAACAGTAGCGCTCTGCAATCACAGCTTGTGGTCAAGTCTTGTTATTGATCTTCAGAAGGTCATCCGCAAGCAAACCAGTGGGGGCTTGACACCATTGACCACAATGATCACAAGATCAGGACGGTCCTCCGTGGATATTATTATCAGAGCTCAACAAGGACCAATGTCAGGTACTGAGGAAATGATGTAAGACACATCTATCTAGCTTACTAGTACGGCTGTCTAAATGTCTACCTTCAGGAGAAGAAAAACCGACTTCACTAAAACAATGTTCGAATATGCCGACTGTATGCCCGCTATTCTCAACCTTTTATTGCCTGAGGTGTATCGATGGCGTTCACTGGAAATCATCAGTGACACTTGGATGCCAATTTATAGCGCCCTCCAACTTCTCAATGAACCCAGGACAGAGAGCTCAAGCGCTCTGCGCCTTGAGTCCATAAAGCTCAAGAGAACCAACGACTTCCTTTCTCACTACTGGCTCTTCTGTCCAGGTGCAATGAGGATGGTAGAAGGGAACATGTTTGCTGCTTTGATCGGAGCTACAAATCAAGATGCCCCAGTGCAATCCCCCCCTCTTCCAAAACTGCGAAATATAACTCTATACGGCGTTCACTTGAACTGGACAAATTTCTTTCGCTATACTCTCGGCGCAACCCCTAATCAGTCACCTACTATCAGTAACTCTATCCAGGTGCTGGAGCTCTCCCATCATAGCGGGGAAGTCAGGCCAACGTCTGATGAGTTTTCAGGGATCCTTGCAGCTTGTCCTCGCCTGAAAAAACTTGTGCTTGGGGTCTCTGGCCCGCTAACTAGACTTTCAGGCCAGGTATCACTTCCACAGCTTCAGGAGCTTCACTATGGATATGGTTGTATTGGATATGACGTCGGGCTATTTAGTGGGCTTCATGCCCCTAACCTTATCAAACTCGGTTTAGAGCGTCGAAAGCTATCTGGTGCCCGGGCCACATATTCACCCACCCAGGATGACGGTTCAGATGACAAAGCTGATAACCTCCTGAAATACTGCACAACTCATCCCTTGTTCCCAAAACTGCAGGAATTGTCGCTCTACAACATCAACGTACCAGTGAACACATTCGCTCTCTTCTTCGACACTATTCCCACACTCCTTCATCTGCTGCTGCATCGCACACCAAATGCACTCCCGGCTCTGTTACCCATCCAGAAGCCTTCTGCAGGTGCTGGTATACCCTGCCCCGCCCTTGAGTCCATCCGTATCTTCCCGAATTCCCATAAGGACAGCCTTATTGTTACACTGAAGGGGCGCAGAAGCGCCCCCAGATTGGCTGACTCAGAGTGGCTATGGGAAGAGATGTTGGAGGGTGGAATAATCGCGTTTTCCCCTTGTTCAAAAGTTGCCTAGTACAACGCTGTAGTGTCAGGACGTGCTTCGAGCATAAATACCTCCTGAGCATGGTGGAAGTGACGGGTGAGAGTATTTTTAGGGGAGGCTTACGTGTCAAGTTTTATATACACTTTATATGGGTTCTGTGTAGTCCGCTATGTATGATGTCATTACCTTGCGAAACAAGGTAACATTGACCTTGTAAATATTACAACGATTTTCTGTGATGATTTCCAAATAATAGTAACGCAATAAAACGTGACAAGACAAGATACATGTGTGTGACGCAAGAACACGTGATAAGATACAGATGACAAAATAAAAACATGATGTTTGTGACCTTCAAAATCATAACTGTGACCCTCAGACCGCTAAGAACTCGAGGAATACTCATGACAAGATTTTTCCACATCAGGTTCTGGAAGTTTATCGTTATTGTACGGAAGTTTATAGTTGGTTGTATGATGCCCACAGCCAGGCTTCAAGATGACCGCTTGGTCGACATCAACCTGAAATGAGTCGAAGTCATGAATTCGCCAATGGCACCATTGAATGAAACTTTAAGAAAAAAGACGCCGAACACTGAAAGAACTGGACGTGCAGTCGACGATGGTCGGGCATGCAACGTCCGAGTCAAGTTCATAGCGTCCAGAGTCAATGATATGATCATGATAGACGCGCAGTCGACGATAGTCGACATACAACGTCAACTTCATGTTCGGCGGTCTCGACGTCAAACGCTAAGCGTTCGACGACGGTGAAAAGATCCATTCAGTTAAGAACGCTAGGCGTTCAACCGCGTGCCGGAGGCGAAACTCAAACGCTAAGCGTTTGTTGGTGACGTTGACGCCGAACGCTAAGCGTTCGACGACGATGTAAGTTGAGAAGAAAAGACGAAGATTATGTAATCTGGATGTGGCGTTACAATTGCCGCATATAATTGCGGACTTTGAAACTTGATTTGTCAGCGCAGATTGAACAAAGCCGGCGCGTCGGGCATGTTCCTCTTTCCCTGATCCGGCAGGTTCAGAAGGTTATCGATGTTCACAGCGTGGGTGACTGCTGAGCGCTGATCGGTCGACCCCTGGGATCGTAGATTTGCATTTTCACATTGAACTCTGTAGCGTGGCCGAGCTAAATGGTGCGTTCATTTGCTACTCGACGATAGCTGACGAGGTTTGTGTGCGGTACGCTGAAAAGTCAAGACGCTCACTACTCGTTCATGGATTTAATTTAGGGTCGAGTGACACTCCTTGAATGGGCTCTAGAAGTCCAACTTGACAGTTGTCTACCGTACCGCAGCGTTCCTCGATCTCGCACATACTCTAACGTTGTATTCGAACATTCGGCTTCGTTGTTAGTGGCCGCTTCCTCATTACAGGGCTCGGTTTGCTTCCTACGACGATTGGATCATTCGAGTCAGTAGGGCAATTAGAGATGAAATACATATGCACCGAACCGTATGATAAGAATCACAGGTATGAGAGTTGAAGGGTGAAAGTCCCGTTCTGAAATTCCTATATTTTCCAAAGACAATTACAAACATGGCTCCTGCGGTAGCATAAGTACTTACATTCATATGTACATACCGTTTCCAGTACTGCTTCTCACATGACTGCAGAGTGAATTGATTCTCGACTAGCAGTCGTGTCTTTCTAGCGATGCAAGTCGTATTACACAACGCATCACTAAAAACCACAGCGGTCCCAAAATCTCAGTCAACGATTGAGCTGGATGCTCGGAAAGATAACGCAAGACAGAAAGGAATAACGAATATCAATGTTTGAGGGATGCATTGTTTGCTGCAATGACTGCTTCCGTCGCTTGAAGGATGCGAGGTAGGAAAGACTTCATCAACAACGTGAAAGGTCAGGTTTTATTAGTTCCATGCGTCATGCTCGATCCTGGACGGAGATACTCTTAAGCAGAAGGATGTGGATGATGAAAACAGCAAGTAGCAACGGCTGAGTGTTGCTCTTGAATGCTGAAAAATATGACAATCCTACATCCTTCAAGGTCGCGCGGAGGTCGAAGAAAGACAGGGACGCCGATGAGCACGATCCCTCCAGATCAGAGCCTCTCCCCTCCAGAGGATCAACTGCAACCTTATGGTCCGGCCATACATCGCGCGCGCGCTCGGTCGGTCGGTCCTGACGCAAGGGCCCTGCCCCGTCATCAGTTTTGAAGCGCCGGTGTTAAAAAGCGAGACGAGTCTCTGAAGAATGGAACGGAGATGAGCGATAATATTAAGGAATGAAACCAAAGGAAATACTGAATATGCGGGTACGCCGAAGCGGGTCGAAACGCTGCGCATCCAGGGGGTTGGAACGTGTGGGATCCAATTCCATGTCTATAAAATGATAAGAGGATACAAGTCTTAGAGTTATCTGAAGCAACCTAGAATTTCAGGGTGCGAATGAAGGGAAAGATGATGACCTCTCATCATCGCAAAAGAAGTATTTAAGCAAAAAATCGAGTATTATTAGTAGGATGTCATTTTGAAGGACATAAGCTTACTTTTCCAAAGCGTACTCGCTCAGTTCACGACCTATCTCTGACTGCTTGAAGCCTCCAAATGGCATCGATATTTCAGTCTGGTTGGCGCAATTTATCTGCCAGGCGTCATTACACCACGAACGCGCGAGATGAGATAACGAAGCAGCGCTGGCTTCGAGAGCGTGTGCAACACGAATTGCTCTGTCGATATCTTTGGTGAACACTGATGTGGCAAGTCCGTATGACGTATCATTAGCCTGTTCAACAACCTCTGGAAAGTTGTTAGGGAGGGATACGATGATCGTGCATTAGTGCAATCTCACCATCTTCGATGTTGAACTTCATGATGCACACGATAGGACCAAATATCTCTTCTCTGACGATCTTCATGTCGGGCTGGCACTCCGTGAAAATTGTTGGCTCGATAAAGTATCCCTCTCGGCGAATCTGCTTGCCACCAATGTGTAAGGTAGCACCATCGTTCTTGCCCGAGGTTATGTATCCCATGATGCGCTTTATGGACGTCAAATTATGTTTTATGATGAGAGTAGATGCACGAACCTCAAATTGAGTCTTAGACGCCTGTGGCCCTCGGTACGTGTCGGGTGAAAAAGGATCACCAACCTTGATCGCGCGTGCCTGCTCTGTGAACTGGTCCAAGAACTTTTCCCATATGCTCTCTTGAACAAAGATACGAGAACCTGCAGAACAGTTCTGGCCATGGTTAAAGCTACAACAACGATGAAAACTAGGATAATACTAGCTATAGCAAAATGCGAAACAGAGTAAGATGATGAGGTGAAAGTCCGAGTCACTAAATAGTGGTAACGTGATACGAAATGATATATCATCCTCTGCGACGGCGCGTCGCACCACCACGACTCGCAGTAGTACGCCCCTTAGTGACACCTCCACGCTTAGGATGGACGATTGATTCAAGGGGTATATGGAGAGATTGAACCACATCTAGTCCAGGGGTACTGCGCTTGAGGCGCGGTCGAAGGGTCATATGAAAGGCCGGAAGCTCCTGTAAGTAGTCGTGCGCGGCATGGGGATCGTGCTTGGCGAGTTCGATTACACGCTGCTGCGTATACCACGCCATGTAGCGACGGTGGGCTGTTTCGGACATAGCCCCCGCAACCGTAGTGACAATTTCACTGTTGTAGAGGATAAAGGGGGGTGCTCGCATAGCATTGGCATTGATATTAGGGTTGATTATCTGAGACAGATGGATGAGCTGCTCCCTAACCACCCGAACGCCCTTCTGAATCATGACATGTACCGCATCCATGTCTTCTACGGGATATAAAGTCTATAACAAACACAAGTTAGTCATATACTACCTGTCAGAACACAAGAAATAAATACTTACCCCGGACGCGACCAAGTTCCTGTCTGTTGTATTAAGATTGATAGGCTTTACCCCGCGTACCCATACTTTAAATCGAATCGATTTTATCGAGCACCACGTATGGCCCTCAACCTTAACCGGGTTTTTGAGGGCCGGTAGTGTGCCTGTAGCGTGATTGAAATCGTCCGAAGAGCGTGGCGACGTCTCCCGCGACATAGCCATCGCACGCGACCTGTTGTTTGGTGAACGATATGGGGTATTTTCCTCGATCTCGGCCATGATCACCATCGATAGACTGGGGTTCAGATTTATCGCGTCTTTGAATTTCTTGAATAAAGAGCGTCGATTTTGTGAAAAAGCAGTCTCTCCGAGGACAGAGACGTAGACTTTCTTTGTGGTGTTAGACAGATCCTGGATGGAAACTCTCAAGTCCGGAATGATAGGGTTGATCGAGGACGCCTCTGTGTTGCACAGTACGCATACGTTAAGTAACGAGCGGTCGAAGTCGATGGACCGGAAAAAACATATAAATGCGGTGTGGAATGGTACCAATGGGGCTTCATGAATGGCGGATGGCATTTCTACTATCAAAGTATTTTCCTCGGCGATGTAACTCAACCTGTCACAGTAGCACGCAACGTAAGAACCAATTAGTGACTGTCAGGCTCGGACTCACTTTGGTTTCAGTCCGCTCTCCTCGAGAAAGCGTGCCAACAGTTCGTATTCTGTGGGCCTGATACCAGAAAACTCCTGAGATAAATCATGATGAAATCGACGCCACTATTAGTAGTAGCAAACTTGTGCTTACCGCACACTCTGCCTTACGGCCTGACTTCCCAATGAAAGTGAGCACCGTTTCGCATATGCGTCCACCTTCAAGACGAAGTAGTATCAGCCTATTTCATGTGTTCAGATTAGTAAATACGTACCTGTTGTTGAAATTTCGGATTTGTCCCGGGCAAAATCGCTGAAACTATCCAGCAGACAACTCAACTGAGCTGATACACTCGTAGGAAGCAGCAAGCGTAGCTGTATGCAGTGCTCTCAGTGAAGCAGAACTGTCCTTCGCTGGTTTAACTTCGTGTCCAAATTCCAATCTGGCTGATCTCCGAGTCGTTGGCTGTTTTGTGTACGAGGTGCGACTTGAGTGAAAGGAGGAAGAAGTAGACAAGGATTTGGGAGGTAGGGTTAACATGGTGCGACAATTCTTAGACAAAGGGCAGAGGGCAAACCGCTTATATAACGGCGCTGCGGCAGGCCCTGGCTAGAGTGACATGTCACATCCCTTGACCTCATTAGGATGTAAAAGTGCCGGTAAAGGTAGCGAAGCCAAGTTTTGAAAAACACATACTGCAATGTCATATGCAACACACTGTGAATATCATTGAACATGGCAGACAATTAGTGCCTGAACATGCTTAGCTAATGGTGCCCCTATCAATCAACTCTCCTAACTTTTGCAGGAAGAGACAAGACGGCGAAGCGCTGTGATGCTCACTTGATTGTCAGATAGCGACTCGGCGCATGCCATGAGGACTCATGGCGCAGAATCTGTGAGATCATTACGCTGACCTAGAAACGGTATCATAATGTCATCTCTAAACTATTTGAGTAGTGATGGCACACACACCGTCGGCTTGGTCATCCAAGGCTCTTGCTTCATCACAAGTCATGCAGGGGTGGCAAGCGAGAGGGCTTTCCGAGTACTAGCCTGACTCGGAGAAAGTCCATTGCCATTCACTACGACGGCTGACTCGGACTCCGCTTTTGAAAGTCGGAGAAAATTTGACGCTCTGAGAGCCAGCAACGACGCTACTATTAGTATTTCTGCGACCTACCAGTGAGAAACGGTTAAATTTCAGCCTGAGGCTTGAGTGCGGCCCAAGTGGCCTGGGGCCTGACTTGGAGTCAAGGCTGGGAGAGAATAGAAAATTTAGCGGGATTCCGAGTCTGTCACGGCGATACTTACTATTTTACGTAGTATTATGCTAGCAATAACTGGGAATCCTTTTCTCGTACAATGTAAGCGTTCCATGTGAGGTTCCTCCATGAGGCGTGCTTCGATCCTAGCGAAACACACGTCTCGCTCCTATTCTTACATAAGTCTCGGCGAGCTCCAATGTCAGCTAACGACGGCAAGAGTGCGAAAACGGCGAGTAGAGGAGACTGGTACGACAAGAAAGACCAAGTATAGGCATTGAGGTGTTCTTCATGCTCGGTAAGTGGCGGTCAACAGCTGTAGCCGTCTTAAGTACAAGTTAATTGTCCTTGCTTAGTCTGGCAGGATCGCATACAATCAGGATACAGCCAGCAAAAAAGGGAGCCGGCCAGCAGAGAAGGGGTGGTTGGCAAATGAGACGAGAGACACGGCCTTTGGTTCCTCCACTGGAAATAGGGACGAGCTCACCTAGCTCATCCCCCTCCGACACGTCACGTGACTTCCCGCCGGCATCCAAAACAGGCTATGACGGTTTATTTTTCGTCCTCTCAAGTCTCTCTGAGAACGTTGAAGACAATCAATACGATGTCTATTAAGTATAGTATGTAACAATGGCAATGAATAAAAAGACATAATGTAATTGCTAGAGGGATTAAGCTGTCATTAGAGTGATTGTGAATGTGGTCACTGAGATGATGAACGAGCACGATAAAACATAGCGCTAGTAGCGGTCCCTTTTTCCCAGGTCGTTGGGCTCCGCGATCGAGACGAATTTTCTCGTCGTTCACGGCTGAGACAATTATCTGCCAGACGGAGGATGACGAGCCATTGCGTTCGAGAACAGTAAGCATTCTATAATCATTAAATTGAATCTGATACTCAGATCCAGATCAGTAGATCCACTCGTGGCTTCGAGAAGTGCGTGATGTAGTCGATTTTGATGCGCCGCCAGCTGGCAATGAAGTGGTGAGCGGCTCTCTGGCCTAAGTTTGATGATATTGTTGCACTTACTGGCTCTCCATTATCATCGTGGTTTTTAGTCGAGGTATCCTGTCACCTGCCGAACGTGCCCATAGCTCAAAAGTTAAAACGGCCCCTTCGGTACCAGTTTTCCCAAAGGTAGACCCACAGTTCGCAGAGGTCACGCTCGACACCATCAACCTTTTCAATCTATGTCCCCTGCAAGCTCATCAAGCAATAATTTTGCAGATGTGAGTTGATTTTCGTCCTTTTTCCATAGGATTTGGCTCATGCAAGACCAAGCAGAATGGACTTGTTTCGATGTGATGTTCTGGAAGAGTCCCTGGATCCTCGGTACCAATGCACTTGGTATACTCCGCTCTAGGTTATCACGGATGATTTCGGTTGCCTCTGCAGGCATTGTGACATCAAAGTATGGTGTGTGTGAGTCATGACGCCCAGTAAGAACTGGTTGTGACGGGAAAGGCTGGGAAAGGACTATATGCGACGATATGTGAATTACCCGTTTAGTACTATGTTGGAATGTGCTGAATAATGTAAACTTCGTCTCGTTCTGCAAATCGTCGTTTTGCATTGCACTAGCATCGTCGGCGTCGACGTCGTATCACACCAACTTCGTATGTTTTTGTAGAATATTGTATAGCACCACACCGACATCGTGTCGTATCACACCGACATCGCATTGTATCGCGCGAAGAACGCACCACATTGCATCCGACTCACGCAAAGACAACTCCTATGACAAGTATGTACTATTCACGCATCCACTTTTACCAAACTGATCTTGACCTACTCTAGAATGTCTCCCGACTCGAGTTCAGACAGGCAGCTCTATGTCTGTGTTTGCAGCAAGCACAATCTCGGGCAACCTCACCAAGTTTCGAAATCCACCTGGCACCGACATTTAGAAGCTACTACTACGGAACAGGAACGAGAGAGGATACGATCTGGTAGAGCACTACAGGGACATAGTATCCCACTGGAAACAAATATCGGGGCTGCAGGCAACACTGCACCTGCCGGCAACGCCAGTAACTCAGATAGAATGTCCTTGCCTCCAAGTGCTCGTCGTGTGGCCGCACTTCGAGATCTTGTCAAACGAGCTAGGGACGAGGAAGATTCTAGACGCACTGCTCAGCGTGACAAACGCGCACGAGTTGGGCATCAAGATGTTCAAGAGGTATCTGTACATCTATCAGTATCTTTGACTCGGACGGAGTGCTAACTCTTTGATTTTCAGCGAAATAATTCCCCAGATCCACCACAGCCTCCTGACCCAGACGAACCTCCGCACCCAGACAAACCCCCAGATCCACCGCAGCCTCCTGACCCAGACGAACCTCCACACCCAGACGAGCCTCCGCACCCAGACGAACCTCCGCACCCAGACGAACCTCCGCACCCAGACGAACCTCCAGATCCACCGCAGCAACAGCAACAGCAGTACGAGATTAGAATAGAGCGCCGGCAGCGACCCGACATTGATATTGTTGCTCTGGCACAAAGTGCCGTTCTTCCCAAAATCCGAGAAATAATGGATTTCATCCTTGCTATAAGGAACGCCTCACTCGTCAAATTGCACTAATCACATTACTTACGAGTTTCTAGTAATCTATGTGCGCATCGTTGGCTCAAACAAGTCGAGAGCAACAAGACAACAGAAGAATTTTGTGTTTATTACGGGGATCTCTCTGCTGACCAGCGCAAGGTAAGTCATTTTGTCACCGTATATACATGCTACATTCATGGTGAATTTCAGGAATACGATAACGAGGCAGCAGAGCTAGTGAGTCGCATGTCTCTGTTGTGCCAGTTGTGTTTTTGACACAGCGTGCAGGTTGCCAACAACGCTTGGGACAAGACAGTCTACGACGGCACATTGCATTAGACTTACCCCATTCCTCTCCATCGCATGTTTCAGATTCAGTCTCATTAGACTTCCCCCGCTCTCCGCCGCATGTTTCAGATTCAGTCTCGTTAGACTTCCCCCGTTCACGGACTCTTTCCAACGCACTTTCGATACCTTCACACACCCATTGTCGACATGTTTTCATAGCTGTTTGTTATTTCAGTACTCCCAGTTGTACAATATTATCACATCCGATGCTACCTGCGCATATTTCGAGACGCGAGTGAAAAGCATGCAATACACAATAAAATCATATTTGAGACTATTCGAGCATATTCTGATATAGCACCGAGATTGTTTGACTATATGCTACTACATGATTCTGATGTGTTTTCGCAAAAAAAAACATATGAGGGCATTAGGGATCTCGCGCCAACATATAGAAAATGTGCGGGTTGTCCCACTTTATAACTGGAATGTGCCCTGCTAGTATTTTATTCACGATCGATCACTTTTATCAACACATCCCAACACATACGGTCCTTTCCCGTCATAACCAGTTCTTACTGGGCATGACGCTCAATATGGATGGACAAAGTACGCTGATCAATAATCAGGGGTGCGTTGGCAACACGACACAACAAGAGCGCTATGACAATTGATACGTTTCATCCCCACAGTATCACGATGCTTGACACCTTCTTTTTGACTTGGACGGGCCATCTGCTTCCGTGAGACATCTTGACAGCACCTGGAATCTTCCAGATTTCAAAAGCAGTCATTTTGACTCGTTCTTATTCATTCATAAGTGGATCTACGGGCATGGTATAGTGTCCATAGAAGGAAATTTCCTTTGAAGTCTTAAAAGCTCTTCGGAGCTCCATGAAGAGACTTTGACTATCTTTGTGGCTTCGACTGTGGATTCCCTGTCACATAATGCGTTAGTAATCATCAATAATTCCAAGGCAGTAAAATCACCTTTGACGAGTCACTCTCCACAGCTATTGGATGTTCTGCATTGTTTCCAGCTACCACAGTGGGAGCCATATGTGCCAGTGGAGGGGGAGGAGCAGGCCTCTGTTCGGTTTGGGCCTCTCTTTTTCTCTTCCTCCGAGCAGCTGCATTGATTTTGTCATATTCTCGGCACCTCTCACATGTTTTCCAGGTGCCATCGTGAGGGAGAACATTTTTGCACTTTGACTTTGAACATATCTGTAGTTCGGGTGATAAATCTGGGTCCATGATATGTGCTCGTAGTAGAGTACAGCTAGTATGTATGGTACAAGTAACTTGTCTCCGATGGGGTCACATTCGTTTTTGGGGTGCCGGCGGGAAGTCGCGCGACATGTCGGAGGGGGGATGGGCTGGGAGAGCTCTGCAAATTTTCCGGGAGACAGGGATGTCTGGATGAGTGTACAGAGGTGAGCCTGAGATGGATCTTTACCATTGGGTAAACGGTCGTTGAGCTTGTCTTTTAGGCGATCGGTCATGCAGAAGACAACCATCTGTGCACTGCTGTGGTGCATGCCTGAGGTCAGGTATGTTAGACCCTAGAGCAGCCTTTTCACGTACTCAAAACGCTTCTAGCCCTGCGATCTGTCAAAGCTCAGGTTGGATGGCGGAACCACTTCCCCTTGTCAGGGCGCTTGTAGCATTGCAAGGCAAGTCATCAATGAACGCTTCGCACCGCCTCCTGACGCCTAATTTTCCGCAGCGACGTGGATCATGACCAACGCTTAGAGACTCTGTGCGAATACAAACCATCTTCATGGCTTGGAGGACGGCGCTATCCATCTTTGCGGATTCGTCGACAATCATCTAGGTATCTTGATAATCGAACTTCACAAGGTGCGCCGGGTTGGTTACTTCTGATACGGCTGCTGATTCGCCTCAACAGTGGCTAAACGACTGAGATGTGCCAAGTCGATACCATGGTAGCCCATATAGGTCGGCACGACCATAGTTTGGACCCGAGAATGGTGAAGCTTTCTTCCGTTTTTGCGATCTTTCCTCGTTCTTTCTCGTCTTTTCAGGTGTGATCGCTGTGGTTACTATTGTACATTGCCGCTCGGTAGGTACATCCAGTGCACCTCAGCAGTCACGTCTCACGAACCATTACATCAGGTCATCCGCAGGAAGAGCATGAAACAAGACGCGGATCCATGTCCTCGTCACAACGGGCAGTCGATGGCCCAGATGAGATGACACGGGTCTCGAGGTCGAAGGCTGTCGCCTCTCGTCGAATGATGAGGGTGCACCGACGATGTGCAACTTCGTCGGTCAGGCATTGGGCTGACGCGCGGGCCAATTCCAACGTATTAGTGGATGCGGTGTTTTTCAGATACGGTACGGCCATCTTCAACTGAAATGAGTAGGATGCATCGCAAACACTACCGGAGCGCGAGCTGAATCGAGTCTAGCTCCTGAAGGAACTGAGGGAGGTCGTCTGTGTGAGCCCGTCCGTCATCGTGTTAACCGTCGATTAGAGTTTCTCGCAGCGCCCAATGTGAGTATTTCCGCTTCAGTTGATCGGGATCGTTACCATATCTCTCTCGATCGTTTGGATCTCCCGCCCCTGGTTCCCTCAGCCCTGCCGGTCCATCAAAACCAAAGATGCGGTTGTGAGCCATCGGACCTAGCAGTGAGTGGTAGCCGTGGCCTTGTGCTAACCAGTCTGCAATCTTCAGGGAGAGACTTCCTGTGTGATATAGCTGACGCGTTTGGGGAGGATAAAGGCCTTGGGACGATCGACAATCTTCCTTACGCGATGCCCATGTGAGGGTGGGCGGGCTCGATACTCCAACTAGGGCGGATAGCGGTCGCCCGTCCTCTTATACAGCTCTGGGCTAGAAGGGCTACAGGGGAAAGGGTCTGTGATGCCTAGGAGTTGGTTGCCAGCAGCTCAGAGGGCGCGAGGAAAAAGAGAGATTATAGAAGGGACTGTATGAAAAACCCCAAAAAAATTAAATGCGGATGGGGGCTAAGGGGAGAGGGGGAGGGCGCATCGAAACGCTATTGCGTCGCCTGCAGGCGTGCTTCAAGAAGCTATCGCAATGGCCGCAGCGCTCAAAGAGCACGCCAATTAACATGGGCTGGCTACCCCGCCTACGCGTTCGACGCCCCGCTGGGTAGAAGGTAAAAGCAAATGGAATTTTGAGAAAAAAGACGCGGAACGCTGAAAGAGCTGGACGTGCAGTCGACGATAGTCGGGCATGCAACGTCCGAGTCAAGTTCATAGCGTCCAGAGTCAATAATACGATCATGATAGACGCGCGGTCGACGATAGTCGACATACAACGTCAACTTCATCTTCGGCGGTCTCGACGTCAAACGCTAAGCGTTCGACGACGGTGAAAAGATCCATTCAGTTAAAAACGCTAGGCGTTCAACCGCGTGCCGGAGGCGAAACTCAAACGCTAAGCGTTTGTTGGTGACGTTGACGCCGAACGCTAAGCGTTCGACGACGATGGAAGTTGAGAAGTGTTTCGTGCGTCAACGCTCGCAGGCTCGCAATCCGCTTGAAACGGCCACTGAAAGAACTGGACGTGCAGTCGACGATAGTCGGGCATGCAACGTCCGAGTCAAGTTCATAGCGTCAATCATGATAGACGTGCAGTCGACGATAGTCGACATGCAACGTCAACTTCATCGTTCGGCGGTCTCGACGTCAAACGCTAAGCGTTCGACGACGGTGAAAAGATCCATTCAGTTAAGAACGCTAGGCGTTCAAACGCGTGCCGAAACTCAAACGCTAAGCGTTTGTTGGTGACGTTGACGCCGAACGCTAAGCGCCTAAGCGTTCGACGACGATGGAAGTTGAGAAGAAAAGACGAAGATTATGTAATCTGGATGTGGCGTTACAATTGCCGCATATAAATTGCGGACTTTGAAATGTAATTTGTCAGCGCAGATTGAACGAAGCCGGCGCCATCGGGCATGTTCCTCCTTCCCTGATCCAGCAGGTTCAGGAGGTTATCGATCCGAGTGGTCTAGCGCAGTGGCAGGAGTCCTGGCTCGAGTCGGTCAGATAGAACCGTGGCGCGCTATAAAGGTCTGACCTGGAGTTTCCCTTGCAGTCTTGCGCTCTTATTTCATTCATTCAAAGTTGGAAAAATAGACGTAAATGATGACAAGCAGTTTGTTAATTCAGGGACACGATCCTCGGACGTCCTGATGATGACATAATTGATTCATATTGAAATGCAATGGTGAAGACAACGGCGGCGGATATGCAGACCTACTAGTTAGTTGATTACTCGGTGTTAGCGATTCGTGGTACAATAGATATCATGCTCAAGATTCAACAAGAAAGACAGTCCGAGCGACAAAAAACCGTCCAAGTCGTTTTCCTATGTCAAAATGGAGGGAACGTAATAGGCATCTATGAGGTTTTCCTTAGCCCACCCCCATTCGCAGCCGTATTCGCGTCCGTCCGAGACACCAATGACTCGCTACTCGCCAAATACGCAGGGTCACTGTACACCCCTGGGTCATAATGCGTAAACGACTGGTGCGAACTACTTGATGCGTTTGATCGTTGTCTGTGGGACGAACGCGAAGCTCGCCGCCGCTTGGTTGTAGAGACCGCGGATGTGCGCCAGGTCCAAACACAAATCATCGTATCAACGCAGGACCTCTCCTTTTCTCATGCGCAGGTAAAAGTTTCTTCCTACAGATGTTCATGATCGCCGTTAAGCCGATTCCCAATACTATTATTCTTTTATGTAGAGGAAGAGCACACATTCCCACTGGCCTCGCGTCGACGTGCCGAAGACATCATGGTCGCTCGCAAATCCACATATTATTTCCAGGTGTTTTCAGGCGTCCAACATGGGTTTGTTGTACGGGGTGATCCTGCTATTGACACGCAACGTGAGTAGCCTGGTTTCGTTTCTTATTAGCAAGACATTGAATGAATGCTGATGCAGGCTGGGCGAAGGAGGAGAGCGCTAGGGGAATCGTGAGTTGGTGTGATCGGTTTACGGTCTAGGTTGGTTACGATGCGTACGTTTGTGGGGAGAAGTCTTATCCTGCCGCCTTCTCTCATTTGCCTGCCGCCTCCCTCGTTGCGCGCCACCTCTCTCGTTGCGCGCCATCTCTCTTGTTTGTGCGCCACCTTTCTCATTGCCTGTAGTTCCTCCCACATCTCCCTCGTTGCCCGCCACCTTTCTCGTTGCATCCCGCCCCGTCCGATCATCAACTATGTCATTCCCGCCGTCCACCTGATGTTGTGGTTCTCATGCATGATAATACTGTTACTGTAGTCTAGAATCTAGACCTCATGCATGTCCTACTGCTATCCTCGTCCGTAATTCATGCATGGTGTAAATATAGTCCTGGTGTATTTTACGAATGCTTGTCATGCATGGATGTTAGTCACGGGTCATACATGATGACCATGCCTTGCGTGATGCATCGTTTGCTGCGGTCATGCACGACATGGTAGTATGATGTATAACATTCGCATCGTTCACTACGGTCATGCACGACATGGTATGATACAGCGGGGGCGCCATGCATAACGTTGTCCACCGCCTTTACGGCCCAAAATCACGATAATATTGAGCACAGTAATAGATAGTACATCGAGCATACAAATGATATGAAACGTCACTCTGACATATCGTAAGTGCAACAGCGCTACCACAGCCAGACTAATAGTCATCATGCGCCACAGTACACCAGGAATATTGGGCAATCGAAGGGTTGGACTGAATGATGTGGCGCCCACAGTTCAAGTATAGGTGGTGGGCAGCGAGGGAGGCGGCGGGAAAACGAGAGAGGGTGGCAGGAGGGACTGCAGAAAAACTCCCGGGTAACGCTGACAAAGACTTGACACAGACCTAGACACCGACCTGGACGCGGAGTCTGCGCAGACCTCACACAGACTTCCCAATACCCTGACTTTGGGCCCATGGGAGGACTTACTTTCCCACGCACGATTTGGTAGAGAACTGCACCGTTTGTTGCAGACAAAACCCTCCTCCACTACTGTGGGAGTCGGGAGCATATTGCTGGTTGATTCCTGGGGAAATAGCCAGGTCACGTTTCGACCGTGATTTTGCCTGCCAATCACGCACCTAAAGTGCGATTACCCGCCGAAACCTTCTCCAGGGGTTTCCAGTCCTCCTAATGTGTCCCGGAAGCAGTGAGATTGCCGTGCGGAAGTGGTGTGGTTGCGGGTGGAGAACCAAGCCCTCGTTATTGTCAACCAGTAAATTATGCAGCCAGTGATTGCCGAGACTCGTCGTGAGCCTAGGCTTCAGCGGAGATATATTGGTCCGCCCTGTTTGGTGACGCCTGAGATGGTTGAAGGCTCGGATGTTGGACTCGAAGTCTCGGAGGCTCGGATATCCTACCAGATCGAGAAATAACACAAATGTCAAGGAGGGCGAGAATTTAGATTGTCAAGCAAGTGTGGTCAATATCTGGAGGGGCGCGGACGAAGGGAATGGTGCAGTGCACAACCGCCAAATCACGCAAGTGTGGGAATTCGTACACAATGGAGTGGAAGAATCATACCGCGGAAGACGAGCCGTCTGAGAGATGTAAAGGAAGTCACTTGTGATAGGAGTGTGTTGTAAAGTGCCATATCCGCCGCCAGGCTTGGTCGGTAGACATCCTTGGTTTCAGAGAGAAAAGAGACCTGGTTGACTGGCGATTGTGAGTAGCGTTGACAGTAATCGGCTTCAACCCGTGAAAGGAAACAACGGCGACAGCTCCTTGTGGTTGCTCTACGGCGCGCACGAACGAGGAGATACTACTAAGAAGAACGTTCGGTGAAGGCTGAAAGGAAATCAGAGCGAGACTCCAGTATTACACAAAGCGTGACTTACGAGGTGCCACACGCGCAGGTCGACGAGCCGCAGTTGATAGAGAATGAAGGCCACCAAACCAATATCCATATGCTCGTCCAGCATCGCTTTGAAGGTGTCCTCGAGATGTGTTTCCACTGCAGGGATCTTCCTTGGAGGGGACATTCCCTGGGTAACACTGAAAGAACTGGACGTGCAGTCGACGATAGTCGGGCATGCAACGTCCGAGTCAAGTTCATAGCGTCCAGAGTCAATAATATGATCATGATAGACGCGCAGTCGACGATAGTCGACATGCAACGTCAACTTCATGTTCAGCGGTCTCGACGACGGTAAAAAGATCCATTCAGTTAAGAACGCTAGGCGTTTAACCGCGTGCCGGAGGCGAAACTCAAACGCTAAGCGTTTGTTGGTGACGTTGACGCCGAACGCTAAGCGCTTAAGCGTTCAACTTCGACGACGTTGAGAAGAAAAGACGAAGATTATGTAATCTGGATGTGGCGTTTGCCGTAGGTTTCATGAACTTGGCAAGCCCGTGGACCAGCTGACCTTAGTAAATGCCCAATACCCTATGGCGTAGGAAACATCCCGATAAGGAATCGGATATCAGGAATGTCGACTGGCAAGAATACTCGAACGGTAGCCTTATTTCCAAGAAAGGTCAGTCTAGACCAGACGAGTGTAAGGTGACCTGTTACATAAAGACAGAGAGCCGATTTATTCCGGAATGCCACGGTGACCTACTTTCAACTTGTCACGACTCACAATCTGGGATCATTTGAGGGTCCAAGTTTACCGCTATGTACGACTTCAGGTTGCCTGCAGGTGACGATTTTGGGTATACTATTTGCGCCTCAACCTGTTTGGAAATTCAGACAAAGCGCCGGCTCGACGATATAAGGACAACCCCGTTGCAGACTCGCACTCGGACTTCCGAGTCCTCCAAGCTCTTTGTACCATTGACATAGCTCAAGTCTAAGTTCCACAGCTTTTCATATAACCACGTTATCATCACAAGCTTCTCTTGTTCAACAGACCATGTTGGACCTACTCTCCAAAGATCGAATAGTCAACGAGGCAGGCCTCAGAACCGCCTTGCGTCATCTGGACACGATTTCAAGTTCGGGAGCAACCGCATTACAAGCTACGGTCAAACATATGTCGTCATCACCCTATGTCTCAGAAAATGTACAAGCGCAATCACCTGAAAGGCCATACGGCCATCGACACATCGCTCTTCGTGAAGCTTGGTGTGGTTGTGCCTCTCACGAGCGAGGCTGCCGCATCATTGTCTACTCACATTTTTGCAGAGCTGAAAAATGCTCTCTCGGTGAGTATATTCGCTACTTTTGACGTTTCCCCTGACAGCTCTCCGTAAGTTCTACCTCTCGCTTCTCCGGAGGACGGAATTGGCAGGCGACATAAAGTCTTACTGCTCCAAAATACTGGGAAGTCTGCCGAAGATGTTGCGCCTGAAGTTTCGTCGACTGAGGATGTCGAGAGCCTAACAAACCGACCTGGTGCGTGCGAAATGGTGCAGTCTATGAAGGCTGCGCTTTACTTCGACAACACGGACGGGTTCGGAGAGTGGCGAATCCTCATATCTACGGAGGCCTACAAAAAATTGCGTGAATTCCGTAGAGCAGATCAGAAGACATTCAAGATCGTCTTCAAGAAGATCAAGTCTATCTTCTGATGAATTTCGTTGCAATGATCTCATCGTTTCCACAGACAACTTTCGAATGGCCATTTTTCAAATGATAATCACAAGCGACTTAATAGGCCGGATGCAGGCATACCCATCTACGATGCCAATATGACAAAGGACCTGCAATTAGTGGTAAGTGTAATTTCACGTACGTCGTTTAGAGCGAGGCGACCGACCTTTTCTCACAGTACCAGATCAATTGTGTCCCTAACCAGGATGGAAAGGTACGTCGTTTTTACATCAACATCGAGCATGATATTGAGACTGGAGTCTTGACAGTCCGAAAGACAAGGTGAACTGTCTCGAGCAGTTACATCCGTCTGTCATCAGCACTCATATGAACTCCAGTAATCAAAGTATACGGCATTTATACGCATGTACAACTTGGCAAAGTATGGGATGCCTTGGGTAACCATCTCGCACGCAAGGGCAGAGAATATCATAGAAGGCGAGGACCTTTTTCGGGTCTTGATGCAATTCAGTGAATCATTGCTTGCAAAGGTGTATCTTTCGGAATAGGCCCGTCCTTTCTAAAGACAGCACGATTCTGCCTGCGTCATTCCCACCAGCTGAACCTGAGCCAGAATGCTCAGGAAGCCCACTTGATCTCAGTGATAAAGACATGGTTGAGTATTTTGAGTTGTCATTTGTGCGGTCATTGACTCATGACATAGCTTCACCCTTTGCTTGTGTATGAATTTTTGCCATCCTTATACAATTGGTTTCCATCTAACGGTTTTCTAGTTTGGAGAAATATGTCACATTCTCGCAAATAAGCTTATAAATACGGTTTATGGGCACGCGAATATTGACTCGATAACCTCTTGTTTTAGGCGTTCCAGCATGGTGAGCGATCATGTAGTTGGTTCGCCACTTATTCTCATCTTTGCAAAAAGTCTCATCGCAAACCAAGACGTAGAGCACGTCTTTAAGCTCACGTGAGTTCTACCCCAATGAGACGCATTCATTGATCGATGCTGGTTTAGACCACAAGAACAAAATATTGTCGAGTGCACCACGTCAAGTTACGTCTTGGGTCGCAGCGGCACAGGGTGAGCGTCCTGCCCCTGATATGAGTAGGGTTAGTTATCACACTCAACTAGAAAAACCACGACAATGTTGTTCAAGATTCTCGGTATTCAGCGAGCTTGGGAAATGAGTGCCGTCGACATGCCGAAGCCATGCCAAATCTTCGTCGCCAAATCCAGAGTGCTCGCTACGAGAGCGGAGGAGTATTTTACAAAGCTTCTCGAATCTCTGGCGTTAGCAGGCTATACCCTGGAGGAACTTGCAAAAATGAAGGCACGAAGTGTTCAGGAGGGCCTTGTTGATCTCGACGACCTGCCAGAATCACAGATGAATATACCCATGAAATACAGCGAACTTGAGGACAAGCACTTTCCCCTTTTTGTAACTTTCGATCGAGTATGTCCCAATCCGTCCTCCGGACAATTCCTAAGCTAATCGTTTATGTAGCTGGCGAAAATGGTCGCAACAGATATCTTAAGCAAGAAAGATAGCGCAGGACTTTTCTTCAATGTGGACGATGCTGAGGCGCAAGATTGTTTCGTCACCTATGACGTATTCGCGAATCAATACTGGCCTCATTTTCCACAGAATCTCACTAAGAATCTTAGTAGCATCATTTTCTCTTGTGATGACAATGAAGTACTGACACTACCCCATCAGATCCGTGGTTGGTTTTCAGCAAATTCATGGGTAAGTACTATTTATATTACATCGACACTGACAATTCTTGAATATACATACAGGGATTGTCAAAGGCTCCGAACACGCGCTGACTTGTCAAGGAGTTCTCGATCGCCCAAACTACATCCGTCTTCCTCATCGTTCTTACCCAAATTTTGCTAATCAGAGGGAAATGATATATGACATCTTCGAGCATTATATGAAAATTAAGAGGCAGCGACGTCATCATGATGTTGCAGATCCGGTACGACCAATTCCTTTTTCTTACCCACGTAATGTCACAATATATGCCCAAACAGTGCACATGCGATACTAAAGGTCTTGCAGAGCCAGAGGTTCCCTGGCCAACATATTGATTATATGTACGTGTTGTCCCCACCAATGCATCTTGCACCTGACCACCTACACTAGCTATGTGGACGACGTACAAGACATCCTTCTGATCGATGCACTCTGTAAGTAGTTACACCATCCCTCGTTGACAGAAATCACTTGAGAACTTTCTGTTGTAGTTTTGAGGCAATTATGCGGGAATCCAGACGGTTTGTTCTGGGCTGGTGACACCGCACAGACAATCTCTGCAGGAAGTTCCTTTAGGTTCAATTATCTGAAAGCGTTTCTCTACCACATGGAGGTTAGCAGACAGTGACTTAGATCGGACCTGAATTAATATCTTAGAGCAGCAGCAAAATACCTCGATCAATTCCACTGGAGCATGTCTTCATCAACCTACGATGTTTCAATTGACGATCAACTACAGATCGAATGGTGGCATTGTCAACTGCGCGAATTCTGTGATCGAACCCATCACAAAATTTTGGCCCAACACAATCGATGGTTTCCGGCAAGAAAAAGAGGTGGTTGGTGGGCTCAAGCCTGTGTTTTTTACTGGTTGGGACAAAGATGCCCTTTGTTCTGAACAGTTCTTCTTTGGGGCGAGGTAAGTAGGCCTGGACGATATCCCTCCTTTCCTACTCAGGATTCTTCTAGCGGTAGTCACGTTGAGTTCGGAGCCCAGCAATGTAAAGTAATTGGTTGGAGGTTTCATTCATGCACTGACGAGGCATCTAGGCATTCTCGTGCGTGACGATGCAGCACGTCAGAAGTTACGAGACCAAGTTGGTCAAATTGGACTAATTATGTGAGTCGTATGGAGACTACCTTTGCTGTGTTTTCATCTTGACATATGTATGCAGGACGCTTTATGAGAGCAAAGGCCTGGAATTCAATGATGTGAGAAAGCTAAGTTTGCTATCTGATGGATGTCTGACCTCGGTCAGGTGCTGCTGTACAACTTTTTCGAGGATTCTGCTGTAGATCTGTCGCGATGGCGCATAGTTCTCAATGGGGTAGATGGTCAAAGATATGCACCAAACTTTGAACGAGATGAGGCGCGATACGCGGGGGTTTGTAGCGAGGTAGACACACCGATCCTCGAAACAAACACTGGCTTACTTTTATCAGCTCACACTTCTTTATGTGGGGATCACTCGAGCAAGGAAGAACATATGGATCGTTGACAAATCTGATAAATCAGTGCGATGCGTGTACGTTGAGAGCAGCGTGTTGGCGTAACTCGATCTGATAACATTTTCCTTCAGATATTCTGGACGTCTCGCAACCAGATCGAGAATTGTACCCCCGGCACCGATGTCCCTCGTCTAGCCGTCTCCTCGACTCCAGAAGAATGGGCATCCTTCGGGCGCTCACTATTCTCGCACAAGCGCTACTTGCAGGCTATCCACTGCTTCGAACGTGCCAACCTTCGTCGTGAAGTGAAGGTTTGTGAAGCATATCAATTCCGAGAAGTCGCACGTTCTAGTGTCGGAGTAGCCTCACTCAGCGACCAAAAAAAGCTTTTAACGTAGCTGCCGATGCCTTTACTGATTGCAGGGCGACCGCGACAGGAAATCAGAAGCTTCAATACTATCGTAACTCGGCGGATTGCTACGTTCGAGCAGGAGATGATCTTAAAGCTGCCAAGGCCTATTTGAATACTCAAGAGTTCGAGCAAGCAGCGAAAAGACATCGCAAGGCTGGACGGTTTGACAAGACCCTCCATGTCCTTCATGACCATGGCACGGATATACCTGATGAGACCAAGACGGAGTTATGGACTGTGTGCAGACTGTTTTACTGCATCAGGAACAACGCTCAGTAAGTATTAGACTCTCCATAATATTTTTATTTAATAGCAATTGCGCAGGGCTCCCTTGCCCCTCTTTTCCACATTTTATGAACAACTCGAATTTCTGGAGGACTATGATCTTGATTACGCTCGTGCCTCACTGCTTGAATCTCACTCGATGTACTATGAGGCTGCAGAGCTTCACTTGTCAGAGAACAGGCCCTTGCAAGCTGTCCGGGCATTCATCAAGGACGAAAGCAACGTCAATTCTACTCTTCATGCGGCCGATACTATATTGGAATACTTCTGGCGCAAATGCTCCTTCAAAATCACGTCAAAATCCGTTGTTGATGAGCCAATGCGGCATTTCATGGCTATCGCTGATCAGCTGGAGACGAACAAACCAACGCTGACCACGTGTGATTTAGTACGTATTAGCAGTCTCAAAGTGACCGCTGGACTGATCGACATCCAGATATCGATGTTTCAAAACATCTTGCGCGGAAATCATGAGCCGTTGAGAAATCTTGCGCTTAACTTTGATAAACAGAATAACAAGCCAGCAGTCCTCATTTGCCTGGACCATATATTCTCTCGGACCACAGATATTCGAGCTTTCACGGTAGATGAGATGCAACAGTTCCTTCAACAATTTCACGCCTATGCGCGACTGCTCTATCTGATTTCGACCTTCCCTGACCCCATGGAGCATAGGGGTATTCAGAGACTATTCTCCATCGTGCGGTTGTCCGGTGATGAGTTTCTCATACCAGATGGAACGTTCCTCCACAACAACGTGATGGAAATCCGCCAGGGCATCGCTTGGGTATCGGAACATTCATCCGGGTACACAGCTTCTCGTAGAGTCGTCACCCAGCTGCTACAACAATCCATTCGAACGATCTTGAAAGACAAAATATCGGAGATCGATGATATGTGCTGCAAATCTCCCGTTTTCTCTCAATGCCTGGAATTCTTGATATCCGGAGTATGTCGAAGAAATAACTGTCCCCAAGAGCATGTTGTAGTATCGAAATCGGATCGCCAGTATTACAACAACCGTGTTGCCATCCACATTTGGCAGATTCTGATTTTGCAATTAATGTATTCCGCTCACCCATACATTGAGCGACACAAAAGGTACGCCTGAAGTTAGCTTATATTCGGGTACTCGTACTGATCACTCTATCAGCATGAGGCACTGGCTCAAGCATCTTTATGAGGCTATCAATCCACCCTTATTCATTCAAGGTTCCCCTGCGGACCTTGACATGAACCTGATGCCTCTTCGTCTGGATGGCATGAAAGTGGTGAAGCTCTGGATCCGCGAATCCTTCTACTCGCTCTAACCATCCCACCACTAGTGGTAAACGAGGCTTTGGAGACAAGATAAGATGTTTGTTGCTGTCCATCGAGGCCTGCGATGTTTCTTTGCCTCTTTTTTGGACGGCCTCGGGGCATGTTTGAGTGCAGCTGCAGGTTCAAGTGGTCTGCAATGCAACTTTTTTTCCTCTCGAAATATTGGATCTAACTTTTTTCTGACACTGGAATCACATTCAGGTCAGCGAAAGGAGTTGATTCCGCATTTTTTCAGATTTTTAGCTATTTTTTTGTGGTACCGCCAATTTTTCAGGCATGCCTCAGGTCAAATTGACAGTTGTACAAATTCCGCTCGTACAAATTTACACTAGCATACGTTGTGAACAGATCTACGATGTTTAAAATGGATTAGATTAGGTGTTAAAGTCAGGAAAATTCGCTCACCAAAATTGGTGACTTTGCTTGTCCGCAACTGTAGTACCGCCCGGCCTAAGGCTGCGGCTGTGGAACGGGAGGAGGAGGAGTTCAGGAGAAGCCTCCTCTAGCATGAATGGAAGAAAGAGCGCGGCTAGTGAACGGCTGGCCCAGGAACGATTTCTTCGGTCTGGCTTTAAGGACATCTTGAATGGTCAAAGGTTCGAACACGTTGCTACAAGGAAAGGCGAGCCCTGGCAGCTGCCTGCTGGTATACGATCACTAGACTGCAGTGACCAGTCGTGGCCCAGGATCGAGGGTATGTACAACTATAAATATGACGTAAGTACTAAACTGCATCCCACGAGCAGTCCTCAGGCCTCAAGGCTCAAGACGTTCAACCTCCGTCATATCAATGATCTCTTAGCCTATACTTATAACCTTATCCCCATATATATTCCTCAGGCTTCAACCCTCGAATTTTCTTCTTCAACAAGTCGCTCGCGTTCGTCGATTTGCTTCTTCGAGCTTCTAGAAAGAGGATTTGTATAATTTGCAAGGAGATTAAAAAGGAGGAGGACTCACCTGACGCCAACCTCATATACACATCCCTGAGGAGTGCCAAATCGCTTGCATAGGCACGTTCAGAGGTAAGAAGCTCGAGGAGGGCATGCAGGCGTTTCGTGAGGGCTGGTGCGGGTGTTGGGAGGGAAGATGACGCTGTCGTCAGATCTTCCTCTGAGCGTTGTTGGCTTGTCATCGCGCCCCGATCCTCTGATAGCCCAAGACGGTTGTCAGTTCGTGGTCTTGATTTCATTGGTAGGGAGAGGGGCAGAGTGGAAGGAGGGAGGGGGAGTTCCTTGTCTTTAGGGAAACGGGTAGATGGTATACGTGTATGAGTCGATTCCATGGTAGGAGTATGGCCGGCCTTATTGATATCGGCTGTATCAGCACCGACAGAATCAGTATAAGCAGCGACGGGTCCGGTTCTGAACGTCTTTCTCTTCGCGACGGTCTTTGAACATTTGCGTGAGACTTTCCATGCCGCTGCCGACGTAAGTGCCAACCTCAGAGGGGTGGAAGTACTTGTATAGTTCGTAGGGATCGGTTATTCCAGGCATATTCAAAGCCTCAGCAGTGCAAACAAGGGCCTAGAGAGTGGTGCGATGTTTGAGCGATGATATCTGGTGGAATACCGTATCGGCCAGCATCCCATCCTGCGTTTTGAACTGTAGCTGGGCCAGAGTAAGAGTTCGAGAAGACGCGGTTGGCGTGGAGATTGGAGCCAGCCGCGAAAGCTGCAGCGGCTCCCAGCAGCATCCGTTCCAGGGCTGGAATTATGTTAACGAACAATTCAATGATCATGAGTAGTAAGTACGGCCTGTTCGTGCTCACTTTGCCCGAACTCTTCACTCTCACTGCTGTCCTGGAGCGCAACCCACAGACTCCTGGAGGAAAGGTGCACCAGCGTTTTGGAGTTACCACGAAAATGCATCGGACAATCGAAGAGGTCGTGAATGACCCACGACGACAGCATCAATCTTGCGCCCAAGGATGATAGAAACGGCTGTCTCGTACTTGCTCTGTGTGGGTTTGCAGAGGTCAACCACGGAGCGGACGCCTGTGATATGTGAGTGGTGACTTTCTGGGACAAGGGCAGCAGCATTTACCTGGGAAGATGCGCTGCAGACTGGGAGCGTTCCTTGAGCTTTGCCTCGCGTTCGGATTCGGTATAAGGACGTCATGCTGTACGCGTTTCTGGTAATGGGTGAGTGCTCCCCATAGATAACGGTGGAGTGTGTCAAGGAGTGCAAGTGCCGTGCGGTAGAGACGACTGTTGAGGTCGGTAGGCGTGCCTGGGCACAGTGCCGGTTGTGCAAAGGTTGAATCTGAGGTCGTGGTGAGGTTGGAAGGGATGAATCGGAAAGCAAGATGTGACACCGTAGGCTAATCTCTGAGCGCAAGATCCAGTGTCGAATTGTACTCCAGGTAATGAATCAATTGCGACACAGCTGTCTCGAACTGTTGGATTAGATCATATCAACACAACGGAAATCACATAAGGAGATTGTGCACGCACCAATTCAAGCGGGACATCTGTAGGACAGCTAACCAACGATTGGAATTTGAAGTGCAAAGGATTGGATTCATTGGAATCTGAATCGCGCAGTGGAGGTATATCATGATGAAGTGGTGAACATCACATGACGAAGGATTGAATCTTAGTCGTTGAAACTGAGGGTGTAGCCATACTTCAGAGACCCGATACCAATGTAAGCCTGTTGCTTACACAATCGAACCACGTGACTGTTCAGTTTTCCTTATGCTATTACCAGTAACCACCGCACCGTCCAAGCACCGTCCATTGGAACCATCTTAGTGTTTCACGCCGAAATTCGGCGCGTCTCCAAACCAAATATCAGACTCCCGCAGCACCTGTTCACTCTTATCACCCCAACTCTCCAGCAACGTTACTTCTCGTCCGAACCGTCGACTGGCGGTGCACTTCTCCTTGACGCACTATCCACAAGCCTCATATTCTGTCTTCTCACCTGGTTTGACATATTTGAACACGTAGATATCGTCTGCGTAGGCAACCGAACAGAACTACGACGTTCTATCAACAGCCGCTGCCATCCTTGCTTCACTCACTTCCGTAAACGGCTGGGCCAGCATTCTTCTCAACAACCGCTCCTTCCTAGCAGTTTACACTTTCGCTCTCTGACTCTGCTTTGCCCTCCTCATCACACCCGGTTAAATGCACCTTTAATCTCGAAGACCAACTTAATGCTCAGTGGTCTCGCGAACTCGGCGCAGACGGCTGTCTCAGGATCCAAAACGAGCTCCATTGCTCCGGATATTACTTACCCTTCATCAAAGCCACTATCTCCCAAACCTGTTACGCCCGCTCCGTTCTCCCAGGGTGCAAATAAGCTTACATCAACTTCGAGAAACACCTCTTGTACATCTGGTGCACAATCGCCTTCTCCCTCATCCCACTCCAGCTCGACATCATGCTCAAACCACGACATCGTAGCGCGGTCCCGACATCTTGGTTCTATGACATACAACTCTGGCGTTGTGAACGTGACGGGCACGACGTATGCACCCTCCCATGGCAGGTACGATTGCATGGCGACGAAGTTGCCTTCACCGAGAGGTTGTGAGCGAGCGAGGGATGATGGATGGACTGCCTGTCTTTTTAAACTTTCACTAACACACCTGCTCTGATACCGTTTTAGACTTTCGATTTCCTATTTACCCGGATGGCTCTAATCGTGTGCTGCTGGCTGCACGTTCTTACTAACTAGTCTCGTTCGTTCGCGCCATGCTTCGTACGCGATCGTTCTGGTGCGCTTCATGTACATTCAGCTATTCAATGTCATTCTTTACATACGATCCGCGAATATACTGTCATGGATTCAAACATTTCTCCCGTGTTGGGATGCAGCATGAGTAGATAAATCAACCTCGTACTGCGCATGGACTACTGCCCATCCGACTCCACCACCTCTGTCAACAACGTGAAAGTCAAAGAGGACGTCGACGAGGACGACCCGCGCAAACGGTGAGCGAGAACTTTGGGACAATTGGGGCGAGGCACATTTGGTCCTTCACCCGAGAACCACGGATTTGAAGGTACAAATGCGAAGTCACAGATTTTGCTGACATGCCGAGGACGTCTTTGGCACGCCGTCCGCTGAGTGTGCGGGAGAGAACTGCGGTGGGGGAGAGTGCGGCGGATATGGGGTGTTGGGCATTTGAGACTGGGCGGGAGCGGGATTTGGAGGATGTGGAGAAAGCATAGCCTAATCTTCTATACTGTCAGAGTCGGAGTTGATGACGAGTCAACGAGAATGAGTTTCATGTAAATGAGGATCTAGAAAAGTGTGATTTAGAGTGTTTGTGGTGGGAGTGGTTGCAGTTGATTCCTGGAGGGAGAGTAGGTGGAAGAGAGAGCGAGGAATGGGTGTTTGGGCATAAGTCAATCAGTTTTCGCCCGGGAGACAAGATAAGTGGAGCGGGAGCGAGCTATAAGCCTATAGAATAGAATGATAAAGGTTTGAGATCAGCCAGTGCAAGAGAAAAAAAGATATGGTGGGATTACCTCCTCCTCCCCCTCTAAGCCACCCCGAGTGACATTTTCGGGTATAGCTCCAGCAATTTTGACCCGGGAGACGAACGGAGTGGAGCGGGAGCGAGCTGTATATATGTAGAGTAGGATGACCAAATGTCGAGGGCAGGAGGTGCGAGAAAAAAAATGACGAGTGGATTACATCCCTGCCTCCTCTAAGACCGAGAAGAACAGAGTTGAGGGTATAACTCGGGAAGTACTGGTCCGTTTGACGAAATTCTTGGTGCGGGAGCATCGTGGGCTGCGAATTTCGCAGCCCAGGATGTGTCGGGTCCTCCGGGGATCGTGGTGAGGAAAGAAAAATGGAAGAAGGTGGTTGAGTGAGTGTGAGAACATAAGAAGGTGATGGTACCTTTGAGTCAACAATTACTCAACCGTTACACAACATTAAGGGAGCTTCGGTTTTTCAGGGGCTACAAGATGAGGTAAAGATGTCTTAATAAAATGTGGAAGGAATGGGACGAAACGAATGGAACTCGGAAAAGTGGCTTTATGGACCATTGAGCCGTTGGCATAGATAGTAGGTGGGCGCGCCGTCCGAAAACGCGATCCCTCGGGGGGCGCGCCGCGCGCCGCAGGTTTTGGTGGTGAGGACGGGGCACGCTCCCTGGCTTAGAATATTAGATACGCTATATTGGAATACCGTTTTCTCTGTATGTGTCGATATTAACGACTTTGCACTGTGCTAATAGCTCATCTCTGACAACTAGTGCCAGTATTCTGCGTATGTTTCATATGCGCTGTGTTCCATTTTTCTGACCGGCGAGACACAGGTACCATGCCATCAGTATCGCTGACAGATGCAGTGAGTGTTCTGCAACCATCTCATTCCCATCAAATCAATACGCTCATATGTAGGGGTGAATGAGATTCCGACCATTGAACTTGGCTCAACATAATGACTCAATAGGTGTAAGTCGAAGTCTTTGATTCTAGTGCGAGGGCGTTCACTAATTGCGAGTTTTTAGGCACTATCGTAGAGTATGCAGCAAGTGGGACAAATGTGGCCTTGACTGCAATGTTGGGCGGTGAGTTGCCCAGGTGCAATACCTCTGTGATATTGACCTGACTGACACAATGCAAGTGATCATGATTGCTCGGTTGCATGCCATGTATCAGGGATCTAGAGGGATGCTTATGCTCCTTGTTATTATCTTCCTGGCTGTAAACATCGCCTGCGCAGTAATCGCGGCAATAGGACTCAACGATGCTGTAGCAGGTAAACTTTACTTGTCGACTTGAAGAACACGGCTCATTGGACAAACACCAGAGGAGTCGGTACTCTCTGGCAAATATATGTGCGATTATGTATATGGAGGGGATGAGCGGCTTCGTATTTCGATCGTTTGGATGCTCAACACTGTTTGGGAAGTCCTCGCACTGTGTCTTTCACTCTGGGTTGCTGTGAAACACTTCCGTGAGCTACGACGACTCGGCCCATCGACAGGATCGACCATCAATGACTGTTTCAGAGTGCTGATACAATCTCACGTTCTTTATTTTGCAAGGTGAGTTTGTGATGTGAACGCGGTTATATTTTTCTGCTCAAGTTCCGCACATGTTAGCTTTGTTGGTGTCTCCTGCCTCCAGTTTGCTCATCTTTCTCCAAAAATCGAGGTGCGCCGACCTGTCGTCAACATCTGCATGTGACCACTGCTCATCAGTTCTATAGAATTTAAACTCTATTGGAGCTCTGATACTCTATGGCGTTCTTGAAATTTTATCGGTCGTGCAGATGTTTGTGCTGGGACCACGCCTCATCCTGAGCGTTCGAGAATACCACGCCAAACACGTGGCATACTCTAACGCAGAAAGCAGCATTAATTTGATTGTTTTCCAGGAGCATATACATGTATCGACTAACAGTACTGTGTAGGGACACGCTTGCCGAGTAATCTGCAGGGAAGAGAAATTTGGTGGAGGATCCGTCGTGGTATTTGTTTAACATATGGTGTTTCGAAGTATATCTGAAAGGTCCAGGCAAACCTATCTCTCGTTGTATCACTACTGGAACGAAGCACCCGCAAGTGGTAAGGTGAAATTATCCGGAACGTCTAGCAGGCAACCTGGTCTTTGATGGCCGATGTTAAAATAAAACGAGGATCAGTGAAAGTGCCTTGACAGCTGATTCTGCGCGTTGGTGCTCCACTGTCTGGACAGACAAACACTGCGAATCGTGAAGCCAGATAGCTGATAACTCAGCGGTGCTCAGATGTGATCTCCTCCATGCGATGGGCCACAGAGAATGAAATGAATGAATCACGTAGACTCCTGGCTCGATTAGTCTACATCTCTCTCGCGAATGAGCATGACAAGGATATGGGGTCCGCTGAGTGACGAGTGGAGAATAAGACAATTGGAGGTTCAGGTTAGAAGATCTCAAGCATATCAAACTACTGACGAAGCATCGACTGCGATATTCTGTTGGAACCCTCGCTAAGCACGACCATCAGAGTAAAGCACCGAACGAGGTACAGACATGGATCACAGTCCTAGGGCAAGCAATTGAATGATCACTTGAATGAAGTGTTTGATAAAATGTGCACCGATGGCGGTGCACCACTTCAGAATGGAGTGAATTGTGCGACGTGTCATATATATATATGGAAAGAACTTCAATTGTGAGAGATGTTGAGCCACCGCTAGAGTGACCGTGACAATCTGAATATTGGAGATACACACATTGATCGCAGTCGCTCTGCCAGAAGTACTAATTGTGTCCCACCTAGCAACTCCCGAGCACACTGTTCAGACCGTGTATCGATCTACATTGGGGATTGGTCAGTCCAGACAGGCAATATAAGGAAGTCCACAAATTTTTCTCCCTTCCACACATCATCTGTCCAAGCACGCTACACAAAGCCCACAATATCCAGATGATTTGTCATGCGGATGTTATAACTAGTAACGCGTCGCTGAGATAGATCAACGATATCAAGTGTGATGAGTTTTAAAAAAGAAACTGACGGTTCGAGTATATCCCAAATGAATTGGCAAGCACATCAGGCCTCAGGCATGGTGAGTGGGGAGTAGAGAAGATAATCGGGTTTTCAAGTTGCAAGGCACCCATCACACCTGAGAAAGTATCAGCGAGACACCGATCATGAAATTTTAGGACCCTGGCATACATACTTTGATCGGTGTAGCGTCACCCATACAACTGCAAATCATGTGTCAGATGTGTATTAGGACCCTTGCAACGATCTGTTTCCATGCTCCCGAGCAGCGACTGTTAGAGTAAAGCACCAAACGAGATGCATGCGTACATACGACGAACTCATCGATGTTAATCACAGTCGCCCTGGTGCGAAGAGATGAGTATTTGAAAGTATACACTTCACTTCAGCAGGTCGTTATCTGCTCGCCCAGGTAGTACATGAGCAGCGTGTCTGGATCTGAACCCGACAGCTAATGTGTCAGAATTCCACACTGGTGAAAACTATTGTCTATCAGCTGTTCGAACACAAATACCAAAGGAAGAAGTGTACACGAACTATGAAAGCTGCGATGGCTTGTGACGGAATGGCTCTGTCGCATCTACTGCGTTATCATCCATCTGGGCTGTTCGAGTGAGGCGGGATGCGACTATTGCATGGACCAAGGAAAGTAGAAGTGGCGTCACTGGCGTGTTCCAACTCAGACGGCTGATAATCCGAAAATTCAACATATTCGTGATTATCATTTGAGCACAATGCAAGAAGAGCGAAAAATAAGAACCAAGAACTGACCATGATCGCAGACTCGTGCATTGGGCATGTATGGCCTGTCGAAGTTCTACCAGTAGCATGTCGAAGCCCAGGTAGCCGATAAAGAAGATATCAAGGATACACGAAGCCAACTGATCATTTGTCTGAACAAAAAGAATGATCATAATTCATAAAACCCAGATGGCCGATGACACCATGACATTGAAGAGGTTATCATAGCAGGGGGTCGTCAGCCACTGAACGAACTAACAGAGAGTGAAGGGCCTGGAAAGGAAAAGGAAAAGTAGCGCGTCTGTGACCAGGTAGTTAAAAAAACTCAATATAATGTGTGCGAGCACAAAGAAAGATGGGAAAGAGTGGCCTTCAGAGCGGTAGTAAAATGTTCCTGAGCACGAGGAAGAATGTGCCGGGAGGATCTGTCACAGGAGAGTCTCATATATATACTTGAGTACTGTGTCACAGGCAGACCAAATACGACAGTCATTCCTTTGGCTTCGATGACATAGTGCCTGTCCGTCACGGTGGAGCTTCACGCGCGGGTCGATTCTCCTCTTCCATGACCGATGCGGGCGATGTAACAAGAGAAATCAGTGGCACAGGTGTGAGTTCCGGAACGGCATGGTATTCCAAAATTAAACTCTGGTTCACTACATAGCTATAGCTATAGTAATTACGGTTTCTGATCTCCCTCAAATATTTCTTAACCTGTAAAACGCAGCCAAAAACAAAGTTCCTTGAAGGACGAATGATACCTACTTTCTGGAGAAACCGTTCCATTAGTCAGCACTGGCATGCCTACAGCCGCAAGTACCTTTGGAACCTCCAACCAGGTGTCGTGGGATGCTACGGAACATGCAGCTTCCCGGAACCCTGTAGTATGATTCCCGCCATCTGGAATGGTCGGGATGACTTGAGTAACACGACAAGTATCTTGCTCGTTCCTTACAAAAGCCGGGTATAGACCAGGCATCACTGACAAACAAGAACTTTATTGACAAACAAACGTTGCCTACTCCCAGCGTGGAGGTCGGATGCACAGTATGAGATGTTCCCCTTTTTGGTCCAAAACATTAGTTATGTCGCACTTTCTGGATGTGCGAAATACTCACGAAATAGTAGAAGTACTCTTGATACTCCAGTCGCCACCGTAGTGCTTCAGAACGACATCGACAAGCTCATCGCCTAATATATGATTCAGTACCAAGCCACTGCACACCACGACTTCATACCAAGTGCTTTGTTTTAGATTAGCGTAAGGATGACTGGAATGAATGGTAGAACAAACCGGGAGTAGGAATGGAGGCGAGGTGAAAGGGGGAGCCAGTCTAAAGTTGAAACGTTGTCATAATTAGTAGTTGGTAGAATCCAGTGTACGTAGTGTAAACAATATTTATATTTACAAGCTGCTGAAGTCGACGTCAAGTGCATGACGGAAATGACCTTGATATATGATTCAGATTTCAATTGAGCTGACATGGTAGAGGATGACTGAGTGTGTCGTGGAGAAGACAATGTATTGTCATAGGCCACAGCTGGTCGAATGGAAAATGAGATAGCTGAGCCGCTGGACCTGAAGGCTAAGTGTCACAAAAATGAAGTAAAGTACGCCGTGCAGCGTGCAGCCAGCAGCACAAGGTAGCTGCATAATCAAAGCCACCAGGGTATATAGGAAAGCAAGAGCTGAAAACGATATATCAGAGCGCATTGTCGGAAAAATCTAAACCTACCTTGGAAGGCTTCTATCTTTAGAGTAGTTGTCGGAAATGAATGTTGAATGTATGTTTCGGTGTGGTGCGCGGTAGTGATGCGGCAAGTTGCGGCAGTGACGCGGCAAAATACCTGAGCCCGACTCGGAGTCACAGAAAAATATCATACCGCGACCTTTTACACGTGATTCCGGCTTTTACTCTTACTTCAACCACGATGTCGATTGCACACGGAATCAAACGGCTAGGCGTCCTCGGTGCAGGCCAAATGGGCACCGGCATTGCTTTCGTATCCGCCCTCCATGCCAAAGTCCCAGTCCTCCTCCACGACAAATCTGCACACCAAATATCCAAAGGCCTCTCCCTGATAGACAAGCTCCTCGCCAAAGACGTGTCTAAAGGCCGTCTCCAAGCGTCCGATGCAGCAGATGCGCGCGCACGTATCCAAACAGCGGACTCCGTCGAAGCCATGCGCGATGTAGACATGGTCGTAGAAGCCGTATCCGAGAACCTAGACCTCAAACGCGCTATATTCCGCGAATTTGCGGCGAAGATCCGTCCGGATGCGATTTTGGCTACGAATACGTCTTCGATCAGTATTACGAAGATTGCAGCTGCTGTTATTCCCGAGGGGGAATCTGCGGCGGGCGAAGTAGCGAAGGCTGCGTCTGGGAGGGTGGTTGGTGAGTGTTTGGGATGGTGTATAGTAGTGATCGATTGACGGCAGGTATTCTAAGGTCTACATTTTTTCAACCCTGTACCTGTTATGGTGATGCAGTTGTTTACTGTGCTTTGAGTGGCATGTTGATGCCATGTATGAATATCAGAAACTCGTGGAGCTCATATCTGCAGTGCAAACGTCGCAAGACACGCTAGACCGCTCACGCGCATTCGCTGAAGCGTGCGGGAAAGGTAATTTTTCTCTCGGGATGCATTGTACTTCGTTGTTCACGCTCAGTCAAGAGGTCGCTACGTCGCAGGACGTGCCTGGGTTCGTGTCGAACGCGTTGCTTATGCCATTTATCAATGAGGTGAATACTTCTGTCTGTTGTTTGTGCGTCGTATATTTAATTTTACCTCAGGCGATCATGTGCTTAGAGAAGGTGATCACCGGACACCAATCGTTGATTTTTAGTTTTACTGACGCATGTGTCGTGTCCAGGGCGTTGCGACTCGTGATGATATCGACAAGACGTTCAGGTTAGGCATGGCACATCCTATGGGGCCGTTACAACTTGGTGAGTTACTGTAGCGAGATGCGCTGTATCTTTCTGATGGCCGTGCACGGTTTTTCACAGCTGATTTGTAAGTGCAGCTATCATCTTTTGTTTGTTTTGCATCGCTCATCGGAAGATAGTATCGGTCTCGATACCTGCCTCTCTATTCAGCAGACGCTCTACAAGGGTACCTCGGATTCTAAGTATCGCCCTTCAGTCTTGCTTGAGCGTATGGTGGATGCTCAGTATCTTGGAAAGAAGAGCGGTCGAGGATTTTATGAGTACAACAACTGATAATTCTCTCCTACTTGTATCTACGTGCAAAGAACACTAATTTTCCTGGAATAGCCCCTGTGGCAGGTCATGTGAGATACTTACCAAACCGAAGTCTATTCAAATAGTCTATTCTTGTGTATACCATCAACAACATCGTCTAGGATCTCACAAATGCCTCCCAAATCCCTTATCGATCTCTCGCATCCTCTCACGCCCCAAACGACTATCTACCCCGGAGATCCACCCTTCGCGATGCACAGCGTGTGCAGCATCCCAACCGATGGATACACCGTACACGCTGTCTCGCTCGGAACGCACACAGGGACACACGTCGATGCCCCGTTTCACTTTTTCGCGCAAGGCCAGAAGTTGCATGAGCTCTCTCTTGAACGATTCGTCGGGCGTGCTGTGATCGTCGATGTGAGGCACCTAGCGCGTGCGAGAGGGCGCATTGAGTGGAGGGACGTGCGAGAGTGCCTTGATTGGACTCGCGGCACGATTGCTTCCCTTGGGCCGCGGTCAGAAGAGAAGATCGATATGGTACTGTTCTGGACGGGGTGGGATGGATGGTGGAGCGAGCAGAAGTACTTTGACCATCCGTATTTTGGGAGAGATGTCGCAGAGGAGCTTGTGGAGATGGGTGTGCGGCTTGTGGGTGTTGATACGCTAAGCCCTGATGAGACTGTTCTGGTGCAGGATGGAGGGAAGGAGGATGCTTTTGCGATGCATGAGGTGCTTTTGGGTCGTGGATGTTTGATTTGCGAGAATTTGACGAATTTGGGGGAGCTTGTGGGTAGGAATTCTGAAGAAGGGGAGGTATGGGTGAGTCTTGCGCCTCTGAGTTTACACGGAGCAGATGGGGCTCCTGTACGGGCGTTCGGGTGGACGGAGAAAACTAGATAGACGGTGTATATTCTTGTTCAGATATGTGGATCTGGTGACCAACCGCGCGCCTCCGATTACCCCATCTAATGTTCTAATTTTGTTTTGCAACATGATGAAGACATAAAATCACACGGAACGCAGGTGGCCAGCAGGTCGTACTGCTGTCCGGTCATTCAACATACACAGTTGTCATCGTATGTAAGGAAATATGTCCTTTAGTCGCAAATTAGTCATATCAAAATGATACGATTCCGTACATAACTGAGACAGCTGGCTCCCACAGTTCGTGTGGTACAACCGCGATGATGATCGACCTCACCCACACGCTGACAACATCAGCCGAAGCCCCGATGTCGATATGGCCGGGGCACCCAACACTGGAGATGAAAAAAGTTGCCGCTATCCCGGAACAGAATGCCAACGTGACGCTTATTTCACTAGGGTCTCATACAGGGACTCATATTGATGCGCCCAATCATTTCATTGCGGACGGATTGACAGTGGACAAGTACGACTTGACCAAACTCGTGGGTCGTGCGCTGGTCATCGATGTGAGGGGGAAGAAAGAACGTGAGATTATTACCTGGGAGGACATGCAGAAATGGGAGGGGGAGATGCACGAAGGAGTGATTGTGCTCATATGCACTGGGTGGTCGCAATACTGGGGCAAGGAGAATTACGAAGATCACCCGTTCATGGATTTGGATGCGGCGAAGAAGCTTATGGAGACGGGAGTGAGAGTGATTGGATGCGATACGCTGAGCCCTGACAGCATATGCTCACCTGAGTGCCAAGTGCACAGAGAGATACTGGGCGCGGGAGGGATGATTGCAGAGAATTTACGGGGGATAGAACAAGTGCTGACATTGAAGGACCCAATTGTGAGCCTGCTGCCACTTAAGTTAGATAGTTGCGATGGCTCGCCAATACGAGCGATAGCTTGGTCTGCAGGAGGTGAGCACTTTAGTTATTGAGTTATTGAAGACGTTACTTATTGTGAATTGTCAGATATTCTGGGGTGAGAAAGTATTAGTCCGTAGATGCGGGGTTTCGGAAGCAATATAACCATTAATGATTTTACAAGTTGGATAAAAAAGCCGATAATCATTCCTCTAACTGCCAAGGTCACTTCTGAGACTTGCGCTCATCTTTCCTGCCACGCCCTTTGCCGGATGCTCGTTAGTTCTTTTGTTCGTGTGATTCTTTTATTCTCAATCTCTTCTGCTAACTTTCATCAAGGTTAATTGAGGCTTCCTTTGTAGCTTCAATTTTATGCAGACGTTCATCAACCACGAGCAAGGCACAGGAGTTTGGGAGGTTTTGCCTTCTACCTGCTGGGAGATCAGGTATGGATCTGTCAACTGGTCCTTTGACACACAATACTGTCGTGTCCCCATTAAACCTGTATCCCATCCAAAGCCACCCCATTATCATGGTTCCCTACTCAGGACTTCACGTCCAAGACGGCGTTATACAATTCTTTGCCAAGCTAAACCATTCGGACCTTCTCAAGATCCGACAACCCTACCTCATAACCCTGCGAACGAATGGCCACTCTCCGAGTCACTGAATCACACATTCATTGGCGTTCAAGTTGCAGAAGACGTCTTGAGAGCGTACGAACTGGATTCCGGATTCACTCATTCTATCATGCCTGATATCACCATGGACGAATTGTATACTAGTTGGACTAAGCTGTCCATTGATGTCGACGAGGAGGAGGTCGAGTTTGCGAGGTCTGAGTGGGCTACGCGTGTTCAGGATTTAGTCGGGGATATACAGTTGTCCCGGGCTATATCCGCCTCCGACATTGACGGTGCGTCTGAGATTTACACTTTTCTTGCAAATCATTTTCATGCCTTCTCCTCAGGCGGCCGTCCTCAGTCTCCGCTGTCCTCGCTGGAATACGATTCAGAGCCATCTACCGATTCTGATGTACTCCCTTCCACGCCCACACAAAGGAGTGCATTCTCCGATGTTGAGGTACATCAGCCCTCCCCGGTGTTAGATGGTCGTGGTCTTTCCCCACCCAAGGCTCTCAATGGGTCGGCAAGAGCTTTCACCCCAAAATCAGGCCCGCCACCCAAATTTTTAGCACCCCCCTCACCAGATTCAAGCTTACGCTCAAGCTCATCCCCTACCCCAGTCAACTTTGTATTCCCAGCTATCAACGGTAACTACCAGTACCTTCCTCCAGGCCTGAAAAGAGATGACCAAGGGTTCTACACCTCAATCACCCCACCTGGCTCACCATCTCATGCCCGTCTTGATTCTTCTCGGCCTTCCTCGCGGCTGTCATCTACGCGTCTCCCGCAGTTCTTGTCCGATGTGCAGTCGCGCAAGGCCTCCAAGACCAGAGTCATCGTTGACCAGATGAGATCCACTCCTGTTGCCAGCAAGAAAGGCAGGCCTCGCAATCACTCCAAATCTTCATCCGACAGCTCGCCAGGACCTTCTACACCTCACATTGACGCGGGAGACAGAAAGAGTACCAGCTCTGCGCAAGGCAGAGGCCGCGACCACTCTGATCCAGATCTATCCTTCAACCCCGATAATCCCATCACGCCAGGCAGAAATGGGTGGATGGAGCTCCCATCGCCTACTTTCAGCATTAAAGCAGTAATCCCCAGCAGCGCTGCACGTCTGTCGTTCCCTGTATCATCCTCATTTTCAGATGCGCCCTTCCTCACACAACCCCCCGCGCCTTCTGGAACCTTCTATCACCTCCCACGCGCGCCGGGTTATCCATACTCATATGTCACAGCCAACGCTCCACCACCACCACCACCACCACCAACCTCATGGGTTCCTATCACTGGTTCCACTTACCCAAGCAGCATGTATGCACGACCCGTCGTGTGGTGATGCCGCCTATGTAGAAGCACCTTTTTTTGCCATTCGTCATTCATCATAATTACTATATGTAGCACCACTCCCTCTCTTATTGTCTGTCTTGGAGGTGGTATGACGGACCTTGGGGACTGTCTGCTGTTCTGTTCTTGTCACATTGTGCTTTATGTATGTGTCCTGTGCGTGTTTCGTTCGTTATTTTGGTTTTTGGTTTATGATTACATGGCGGTACATGTTGTATGCGAACAAGGAGTTACCATTAATGAGATTGAGGTAGCAATAAATAGATGGCATTTGTCAATGGGAAGTGAGATGGATGTTGAATCCTTCGGAATCGACAGACAAACTCGGACCAGGAACTCTGGCGTGGAAGACTTTGCAGGTTAGTCACGGTGCTTTGTGAAAAGTTCCAAGTGGTATACAATCAAGACTCAGTACTCAGGCCTCAGGATTGTCGGCCTCCCACTGTAAGACATTGATATATAGAGGCCAGCAATGATCCCCTTCTTGACCGGTCGACCCTCGAGCTCTGAATCCTTAGATCTTAGACACTGTCTTAGACGGTAGTTCTCTAGCAACAGTGGCAAGTACTATCTGCCGAGCGACTGCTCTCAAACGGGTGTGAACATTGAAATATTAATGCTTGGCAGGCCCCAATTTTTTCTCTGGCACTGGAGTAGGAAATAGGGGGAATCCCCCTTCCCTTATAAGTGGGTACGTGTCACGTGAGACGGTAATGTCCCGCTGCGCTCTGCCTCAGGCTGTTACCTGCTACACCTGCTAGTACCCCTACAACTTTTCATGGCGTCCGTCATCCCGGTGATTTTCATACTCGTCATAGTCCTAGGACTAATGACTTGTGGTTTCCTCTTCGTCCCAAAGGGACCAAATCAAACGTATCAATCTTCACTTTGTCACAATCCGAACCAAACTAATACTCACCCTCGAATGCAGGACAATTCGTACGGCCATCATGCTTACGTTTGCATCATGCTATCTTATGTGGATGGTCACATATATGGCTCAGCTACATCCTCTCATCAGTTAGTCATGAAACTCGTTGCTGCGGTTCTATTGGCTAACGCATGAACCTCAGCACCATATCGTTCCACAAAGGCCGGAGAAAGTTTATGATGGTTACGCGCCTCTGAGCAGGAAATAGATGTACACCGCTGTCGCTATGATAGAATTTGCATTAACGAAAGAGCACCTCAAAGTCCGCTATTCCAGATCAGTGAGTTCCCCGCCGCGTGTACCTTTTACCTTCGAAGATACCGCGACCCCACGGGCACTTCGCTACTAGTACACGCCGTTGTCCCCAACCCACTTCCTTTGTATGATGCAATTTGTACGTTTGTATCAACAGACTCCATTCGGTGAAAACGATTGGTATATAATCCAAGCAGAAACATCGCCGTGCCCCAGCTCTATCTCGTATCCATGAAATTGCCCGCTCTCCTGATTTCACTCTTTCTTCTGTCGACGAGCGAGACACCACAGATTTCATTTCCAACTTCTCACCGAAGCACGGTGTCTGTACGGAAAAATTAACGTGTCTCAATGAAGAGAAGAACATGAATGATGTTTGAATCTTCGTTCGTGAGCATGAACGCGAAGTTCTTTCTATGTCCGACTTTCCGTTTTCCGCATAGGTCATTGATGACCTTGGAGATATAACCAGTCAACAAGGGCTGGATGACATTGGCATCAGTACCAGTGTCGATTTCTTGCGTCAAAAACTGTTCAGTGGTAGACAAGCCGCATGCACTGCAGGCGGTTGCGTTGATAGCGATGATCTAACATGTACAGAGACTTGAAGCTTGAGCCTTGGCATCAAAAATACACGAGATGAGATGATGAAGGAATATGAAATCACCAGGAACCTATCAACTCCAAGTCAGGTCGTTCCCACTCTGACATCATCTCCGCTGAGGTGCCTGCCAAGAAGGTGATACAACGCCCGGTCTGAGCGATGGAAGATGATAATGTCTCGTGGATCTGAGAGCCGCCAGAGATAGACACCGTTGCAAGACTTCAGATGAGGACGTGACAAGTATGCGACGGTATGGATATGGCGCATCCAGAGATCGCCGACCTGCATCCAGGTCGGTGGATCCCACTCACATATGGCGGGATCCTTTCAATCGCCTTCCAAGAAAAGGCGTATGCCACCGGGCGTCATCCAGTGTGACCCTTGGAAGCCTGCGACACGTTCCCTGATGCTACGTTTTCGTGTTCCATAGCTTACCCGTTCTATCTGATGAAGCAGTGACCAGTACTGTTCCACTGGGAAAAAGGTTGGCGTGAGGATCCATTCAGGATGGGCTGCGCAAATGGTTTGGTGGAGAGGTTCCTCTGTTTCTCCATGCCAGGCAATGAGCGCTTGAGCTCTGTGCTCCAACCACCACTTGCTGTGAATTGCCCATCTCGTGACGCGCAACCTCTTCAACATGACACCAGTTCAAGTACTAGTCCAACAGACGAAATGTCGTCTCACGAACTGGTAATTGATCAGGCGTCGTCTGTCTGGGAACTTCGGAAGACTGCTACAGCATATACTATCACATCCGTATGATTTCCAAATGTTCGAAGAGGTGTGGTTGTTGTTGAATGAACTGCAACATCGCGATTTCACCGGAGGTTGATGGTGATTAAATTGAACACGGCCTGGGCTTTTCTAGAGGGATTGTTAGGGTCTTACTGCTGCAGCTGCGGTGCGTGTGGGGTGTTTTGATGCTGCTTCCTGCTGCATGTGGGCAAAGTTACGCCGTCATAAGCTTGTCAAATTGACAACTGACGCTCGTGGTTATACACCTGACTTTCCAGAATTTAAAAGTAGTAGCGAACTTGCACGCACCGTATTAGACTTGTGTATGACTGCCTACAGTATCCTCGGAACCGACCATGGGTTATCCTATTTAAGTTACATAGTACACTAAAATCATGTAAGCATTGATGATAAATTGAGTTTGTCCGCTTCGGCCCGTTGGGGTCACACATAAAATTTGAAATGGAGCGGCTATTGGGATGACACGGTGACCCGCAGTCACGATTGTTTACCATTCAGAAAATATAGCGGCTCAGCGCTCAGCAATGATGCGGCATAGTGGAGGTTACCCCACAGAACCCGTCTCACGGTTTGACTCCTTGTCAACAACCACTTCCGTCTCATCCTTGCCAGGCATGGTTCGTGGAGAAGAACGAGCACCCCTCGTAAATCCAAACGACGTTGAGGCAGGTCATATGACTCGCGTCCAGTACGGCTCTTCTTCTATGCGAACTTCTGCTTCTGGTGAGCACTTGTGAGCATTTCATAGACCCACTAATGGAAGAAAGTACAGGTGTCAAGTTACCAGTGGACACCAACCAGAGGAACTCGATGCTTAAGAAACGAGTTCGATACTATGTTCCGTCCACCGCATGGATACCTGACTATTCAATTTCCCTGTGAGTACACACGGGAACTTTGATTACACGAGCTCATATCCGCCAGCTTGAGTGGCGATCTTCTAGCCGGAGTCACTCTTGCGGCTATGCTCATTCCCCAATCTGTCAGTTATGGAACTTCGCTTGCTCAGCTAAGTCCTACAACTGGTTTGGTGCGCTCCTTCGTGTCTTTTCGATACAATATTCATGTATTCTTAGTTCGCTGCTGCCCTACCGCCGATCATGTACAGTCTTTTGGGAACGTCAAGACAACTCAATGTTGCTCCAGAAGCTGCGCTTTCACTCCTCGTCGGACAGGCGGTTTCCGATTATCGTCGTGGGAATCATCATGTTCGTCCTGAAGACGCCGATGCCGTCGGTATTGCAGTTTCCACTGCCATCACTTTCCAGGTAAGTAATGATATTCTCAATTGGGGCTGGAACATTGGCTCAAAAAGACATCCATATCATAAATCATAACTTTGTAGGTTGGCCTGTTTGCGTCAATGCTTGGATTCTTTCGGCTGGGCTTCCTAGATGTTGTCCTCAGTCGTGCGCTCCTCCGAGGATTCGTGACTGCAGTTGCGGTTGTCATTGCGGTGTGCGTACAATCGTTAAACAAAGATGACTCACGAAGTGCTCAAGTTGTATCACAGAGAACAATTAATACCTATGTTTGGCCTCGCTGCCCTAGAGAAACAGATGAATCCCGCGTCAACCCTGGACAAGATAATTTTTCTTCTAGAATTCTCATGGAGTGATTTCCACCAACCGACGACGCTGGTCAGCTTCGGGGCGTTGTTCGTGCTCATATTCATGAGAACTTTCAAAGGTTACTTCAGACGAACTTGGTGGATCGAACGGCTCCCTGAAGTCCTGCTCGTTGTTGTGCTCTCTACAAGTATGCCCCTCGTCTTCTTGTTTTTGGTCCTCTCTGACTGGTTTGTATAGTTATCTCAGGCTATCTGCGTTGGGACAAAAAAGGTGTCGCTATCCTCGGCGTAATACCTATCCAAACTGGCGGTCATTTCTTTAGCTTTCCGCTGAAACAATCAATAGGCTACATCAGAGGAACGACTTCGACTGCAGTGTATGTGGATAGTTTCCTTCACGAATGCCTTTATTAACATCAATCAGTTTGATAACCATCATGGGTTTTTTGGATAGTACTGTCGCAGCGAAACAGAATGCCGATCGCTTTGGCTACTCTATCAGTCCGAACCGTGAACTCGTTGCACTTGGGGCTGCAAACCTTTTTGGATCTTTCGTTCCTGGCACATTGCCAGCATTTGGTTCAATCATAAGGTCGAAGATTAATGGCGATGTTGGTGCGCGCACGCAATTGGCCTCCCTTGTCACTGCTGGCATAACATTGTTGTCGACATTCTTCCTTCTCCCGTATCTATACTACCTACCAAGATGTGTCTTGGCCTCGATGTATATCCCTTTCATCTTCGCTTGGTCTGTGGCACTGACTTGTCTTTAGCATCTGCCTCTTTGTGATATCACTGTTCAGCGAGGTCCCCCATGACCTAATGTATTATTGGAGGTGCGATAGGTTGTCTTGTATAACCTCAGGGTGCTGATGACTGGCATCAAGGATCCGAGCCTGGACGGACCTTGCAATGATGTTTCTCACTTTCTCGCTATCTGTCATCTGGAATATCGAGATTGGCATCATTGTCAGCCTCATCATCTCTTTGCTACTTGTTATCAAGCGCTCCTCGCACACACGAATGATTATACTGGTATGTCATTACCTATAACATATTCAGGCGCTCAGACGGTGTTGCAGGGACGCATTCCTGGCACTGATCAATGGGGACCCATTACTGACAATCCGGGCGCTGAAGATGTTCCTGGCATATTAATCATCCGTATCAGAGAGAGCTTAGATTTTGGTGCGTTTCTATCATCTTATTGAATGCAGACGAAGCTCAATACGTGTTAAAGCTAACACGGCACAGTTGAAAGAACGTCTTCGTAGACTGGAATTGTATGGCCAAGAAAGAACTCACCCTTCAGAAGAGCCAAGGAGACAAGCCGCAAGCACACTAGTATTCCACATGGCAGACGTCGAAACGTGTGATGCCTCTGCAGTGCAGATCTTCCATGAGCTGTTGGAGACGTATCAGGTAAGAGCTTACGTGACTTTGAAACAGCTTTATCTCATTCCATCAGAATCGTGGCGTCGAGCTCTTTGTAACTCACCTCCGTTCTGGTCCTCGAGAAATGTTCGAACGCGCAGGTATTGTGGAGCTCCTAGGCTCCGAGGCATTCTTTGCCACCTTGGGAGATGCTATGACCAGCATTGGGCAGCAATGAAGCTTGAAGGGTCCAAATTGCAATTTGCATGTGGTTGTTAGACGAAGACTTACGACTTTGACGACCTGATTTTGACGCAGGCATCGGGTACATAGAATATGGCGGAGCTTGGGAGTAGATAGTATATACATATGTATTTAATACGCTCATGTGGCTTCTGGGTTGCGACGTTGAAACTCGAGAAGTAAAGTCAGCACCTATTATGACATCCTTCGATCGGCTTACCGTGCCGCTCACGTTCAGAAATGGCCGCTAACATTGACCGTTGTCTTATCCACGACCTCTTGGCACCTCCGTGGTGGGTAGGGCCATCATGCATCCATGCGTCCATCATATGTCATATCAAGATCTGATGCATTTCAGAAAGAGAACGTATAGTGATCACGTACGTCGCTAGCTTCCTTAGGTTTGTACTTAATAGGACTGATATTT